CTGTGAGGAGCAGTACCACACTCTCACACACACTGTGTCTGTGTAGAATAGTAACACACATACTGCAAGACAAATTCCAAACAAGACAGCTGCCTGGAACTGGGCTTCACTTTGACTCTGATGCTCATTATAGGAAAAAGTGGTGCGACCTACACTGTATTGCTTTTCCTCTTTTAATCATCTCTCAGGAACCTTCCTTCAGGCCCACTAACAAAGCTCAGGTTTCACGCGACGGGGAGGACTAGAACAGCAATCAGCGACACATCTGCTCCTGCTGATTCACGTTGAAGAGGAAACGTACGAGGACACCAAATTTAAATGAAGGAGGGGACAAAAAAAAACAATCAAGAAGGCGCGTCAGCGTAGGAGACCTACTGGATGTATTTCTCCATGAACTTGTTGCAGAAGTCGGCAGCCACTGGCCCCCCATGCCCATCATACACTGCGAAATAGAGAACGTTCTCGGTCATCTGCGACACCTGGAAGCGGTCCTCATTCTCCCTGCGCTTGCCAATCTGCGAGGCACAGCCCACCTTGGACACGCTCACTTTGGGGATGGGCTTGCCGTATTTGATGCTGGAGGGCATCAGGATGGGCTCGTCGATCCGGTTATCCCAGATCCCGAAGGCATCCCAGGTGGTGGGGCGGCCGCTGCCATCCGGGTCGAACCTGGAATTGCTGAGCCTGGCGGGGGAAACGCAGTGGAAGTGATGCCTGTCCTCCTGCAGGCGCCTGGACGTCGTCAACAGCGCCCGTCTCCGCACTTGCAATCCGCCGGGCCTGAGCAGATTGATCAGTGCGCCTACTGACATCACTCGGCTCCGCGCGGGACAGAACGGGAGGCGAAACCGCGATTCTGCTCTCCCACGGGTGTCGCGCTTCCTGCGACGCTTTCAAGGGCGCACTGAAAGAAAGGGGAGAAAAGGGAGAGGCAAAAGGGGGACAGTTATGCTCACTGGCCACGATTCGCTGGTCTAAATGAAAAATTGATCAAAATCCCCCGGCAGGCCGTACACCAGCTGGAATTTTCCATCAGGCACACCGGCTGAATCACTGGGAAAAACGCCAGTGCAGGCTGTAATCTCCCCGGAAAGACCGACGACTCTAAGGAATCACACTGGTTTAAAGGCCCACATGATTCGTTTGTTTATATACAATCAAAGACCGCTCTTTCCGCGACGGCGTACTACTGCCGTGAAGGCGGGGGCTGGCAGGAAAAGCACACGAGCCTCTGACTGCAGCCCTACAGAAACCTCGCCCAGCGGGAAGTGGTACAATTTCCGTGCCGAAGAAGGCAGAAATGTACCCAAGGTTGAAAGCCACACACATCTGCTGCAAGATCACTCATCATCCACACGTGCCAGATCATCCAAATTTCCCACAGTTCACTAACACACCCAACGGCCGTAACAGTCTACTGATAAAAGAAAAGAAAACAGTGCATCACTCACACCTGTATAGGAATTCTGCCTTCAAAGAAAGTTTAATGCCTGAGACTTGTTTCTGAATAGATTCAGACTGGAAGGGAATAACTGTGTTGAGGTCTCACATATGGCATCTATATTTCTACAAAAAGAAGCCCGGAAAGTTCTTTCATAGGCATTCAATTATGAAAAGAAATATCAGACAGTTTATATACTGTTCTATTTACAGTTTGGTTTCTAATTCTTACTTTTCTGCAAAGATTTAAATCTGTTGTTGTGGCCCACAGGGTTGTTGCTAGCCTGGCACAGGTACCTTGTAGCAAGGTACTGTAGGTTTGAGTAAATCCCAGCTTTACTCTCATCATGAGACCTGACCATTCTCATAAAATAAAACCATATACATGCTTCTGCTCGTAAATATTGGGGTACATACGAGTGGTTCCCTTATCGGCAAGGCCTTGAAGACAACTCTACTTTCAACGCAGCTTGTCTTCACAGCAGAGAAAGGTGCAGCAGACTGACTTCTGTACACAGTAGATTTAAAGGCCACCTGCAGTACCACTGATGCTGCGTGGGGTTTTAGAAATATTTTTGATATTCGTGGAGTACACCAGACTTCGTCACGCCCTGGCTACAGACTGATGTTATGGGAGTGGGATTCCATTTAGAGCTATCCCTTCTTTAACAAGAAGCTTGAGAAACAAAGGCTGCACACAAGAACCTGGGACCGACGCGTTATGAAGGTAAAACAAGCTACAAAAAACGGGCATGAGATAAGCGAGTTCTATTTGCGTTTATGCTGCGCTTATTATTCATTTGGCTGATGCCTCTACACAAAGTGATTTAGTATTTGCAGAAATTTGCACGATTGGGCCTTTTACTGAAGCAGTCAGATTGAAAAGCTTTGTTCCAGGGGAGTGCAGCAGTATCCAGCTGGATATCATCCCTTCTTGTGGACTGTTTGAGGACATTAGACATGTGACGCGAATATCAGTTTCTATGTTTCTACGCTGTGGATTAAGTCTAAACTTCACTCGTTCACTGTGTTACTTGAGCAACACAGCAGCAGAAGGAATAAAACACAGACGGTTCAGTAAACAGCCAAATCTGTTTCAACTGCAAACTCAAATGCCTTTTCTCTCCGAGAACACAATAGATGCTCTATAATCATTAACTAAAAACAGGCAAATCCGTGCTCTGAGTACAAATGAGCAAACTGGCTGAATCTCATACATCAAATACAGAAACTTTCAACCTTGGTCCTAGAGAACTGGTGTCTCCAAGTTTCTGTGCTTAATCTGAAGTGTGTTTTGTATCTATCACCTCTGCGAGACACAACAAAAAGCTCATCATGGGACAGTTTGATATAGCACCAACCTTTTGGGTCAGATTCTCATGAACTGATCACTTTACATTCACAGCTGTTCAGTCTCTGCAGGGGGGGCTGATTTTAAGGTCTGTATGCTGACGCTACTGAAAACCGTGTCCTTGTACTCTGAGCCGAGTGAAAAAAACAAGTAAACAGTCTAAACAAGCAAACAGATCAATTAATCAATTAGGACTGGTAATTAAGAGCTCAACTAGAAGGAAAATCAGCAGGCACAGCGCTCCGCAGATTACCTAAAGACCACTGAATTGGTTTCGACACCGGTATAAATTTATCAACTAAAAACATTATTTCTGAGAGAACTGTTGAAGGGCGGAGATTATCAGCACTCGGCCACCATGGCAAAATGTCAACCAAAACTACACCTCGGGGGGGAAAAATACCGAGACGTTTGGTCCATTAAAACGTATTAAAAACGTAGATCCTCCCAATCTTGATATTTTAAATAAAACTAATCCAATCCACGAACGATTAAACGTAAACGAGTCGGTTCTTCTAGTGATGATAATGCACCGGGTTGCATCCACCATTTGACCATAAATAAGGGTGACCAGACGTCCTCTTTACACCGGACATGTCCACTTTTTGAGACCGGGGTTTATACAATTCCAACAATTGTCCGGGATTGTGTTTTGCTCGTTAATCAGACTGTAAACAAACACAGCCTACATATTTTCCTTCGTTCCATGCAGTACCGGTAGATGTTTTGAACTTACACACAGGGTGGCTTGAAAGGGGCTTTTGTGTGTGTGTGTGGGGGGTGTTTTTATGGCCATGAAAAATAACAATGTTTAACGTGTTTCATTATATTTCAAAATGTTTCGTTAAAATTGATCATTTTTTGCAGCCAATGAAGACTTCTCCTAAATTGTGATGTCTTCATTTTTTCCTCTGGTGTTAAGACTTTTGTTGTGTTCAAATGAAAAAAAAAGTTTAAAATAGGGCTATAATGGCTATAATATACTGTATTTTTGGTTTTTGTTTCTTGTTTGCCATTAAGGAAAAGAAATAGCAACCCTGCAACTGTTTAAAAGTTTACTAAGAAGTTAAATAATTAAAAAAAGATAGTTTAAATTGATTTTTTTAATTAGAAAAAGTAATAAAAATGCATTACTTTGGAGGCATGTGTCGAGTGTCGATTATCCCCCCGTCCTCTTTTTTGAAAACCAAAACATGGTCACCCTACCCTAAATGCCATTTCGTCAGAGGAACTATTTTGGTTCCGTCCAATCAATTTGATCCAATTTCTGTTCTGGGCTGAGGCCAGGTCTAAGAAAACAGACATTTACGACTCCCGTTTTCTTTTCTTTTTTTTTTGGGGGGGGGGACGTTTGGCAAGATTTCTGAATGACCTGTGCGCAAAGACGTCCTTGACTTAGTTTAGGTAAGTGACGCAACACTTCAGTGGCGCCTCAAGCGGCATTACGCAGTCTCGATGTGGAGCCCGAACATGAATCAATATGTGCCATTCCTCCACGCATCGGCTGTGAGGCCGCTCATTTTTCGTAAACAAAACCCCAGCAAAATTGGGATCGATCCCAATTTTTTGCCCCCCCTTGTCTGATCACCAGAGGCATGCAAAACACTAGCCGTCGTCTCAAGCTCCGCTCAGCCCCCTTTTCCAAGATCTAGGCTTCGCCGCCCAGCTCACGGTTTGCAGGTTGGCATTTCCGCAGAAACACGGCCCCCTTACCTTGGTCTCTGAGAAGCAGCCTCCTCGCACCCCTGGGTGATGATAGTATTATTAGTAGTAGTAGTATGGATAACTGTACTCCCGGTCCGTGGCGATTGCTGCAATAGCGAACAACCGCAGGATGCGCACTGTACTCCTTTCAATTACAATGTGGCAGATTGTCGATTACTGAAGGGGGCTCGACCAAGCTGCTGCTTCACTGACGTCGTGATCCGCCAATCGGAGCCCGGCGCCGACCGAGGACAGCCAATCGCCGGGCCTGGTCATTCCCCCGGGAGGCGGGACGTAGCGGTGATTGTCATGTCGAAGGCCCAATCAGCCCCAAAAACGCGCCGGGAGAAAAAGAGAAACATGACATTTATCCTACATGACGCCGGCTTAGCGGCGGGGCTGCCGTCCTGTTTCATGTGAATGATGGAGAGATAAATGAGGGAGAATGTGAAGTGTGCGGTGCGAGATATTGATATATTCCTCCTCAACGCCCAATGTCCAGAAAGACTTGGCGACATGCTGGCCGAGTGGCTGGTGCAAAGACATGTCTCATTTGTCCGCGAATTACGTTTTAATGAAAGCCTCGTGAAAATAAAAAAATCTCAGGAAAGACACTTTTTCTATCGATTTATTGTGTGCAATTACACATATTACTCAATGCAGAATTGTGGTGCAATTATATCGATGTTAGCTTTGCTCTTTTTTTATCTGATAGCCTGACAAACCAAGGAACATAGCGCATCTCTCCTCTGATTTACAGAAACCAGGCCTTAAACTGCAGTGGGCGTTGTAGGAAATCTCTGATTCTGATTTGTCCGACTGGAGACCAATAATTGAGTGTTAAGCTCCGCCGGTGACGTCTGTTTGGGCTGAATGTCTTTGCTAGGTTAAAGTTTGACTTCTCTGTTTCTTTCCGAGGGGTACACGTCTGTATTGATTTCGGTATTATTGTAGTGAGGCTCTGCTTCCAAAGTCTAAATTAGGGGACCTCTGTCACAGTCTGTCCTAGAAAAGGTGTGACAAAATATTTTAACTTATTTGTTCAGTAACGTTGAAGACAATATGTACAGGAAACAAACGGCACCTTCTGAGTTCCTTGATCAGTGCTGATCAGTCCTACTCAGAAAGATTAGCTTGCAAAACTAAATGTCAAAATAAAAACTTTATTGCACGTATTTAAATGACTGATCTACTGCCATCAAGATGATAATAAAGGATTAAGAAAATAATACTTAATTAAACAGCATTATTTATATGCAGAGCATGCTTTTTACATACAGGGAATTGTATTTTCTCAGAAACCCAATCTGAGATAAGATTAAACGCTCAGTAGTTTATAAAACGTTGCCCTTAACACCATTGCGTAGTTAGTTTTAGTGTATAATGCCCTCTAGCGGTACAATGTATAACAGAACCTGTTAAGTACTTTAAGGTCAGTGTCTTGGTAACATATTTAAATAATGTGGTAAAACATAGATGGTAAATCAGTGCATCTATACACTGCAACCATTGTAAATGTTTACCATCATTTGTAATATTGGAATTTCATGAGGATACCTTACCTTCCCAAGATCTGACCTGTCTTGGTCAGATAACTGCTTTTAGCAGCAGATTATGTATTTCAATTGGAATTACAAAGGCAGTTGTATAGGTGTAAATTTTCACAGTCGATTTCACGGTTACATCTGTACTTCCTGTGTTGTGTATGAACAGTATTTAAAAGGGCTGCCATTAAAGCTTTGTTAAAAAGGTACAGTTTGGAATCTAGAGTGTCCTGTAATTACAGGCCTATATCTCTTCTTCCATTTTGTGTCAAAGACAGAGGAACATACTGTTGCATTTAAACTATAAAATAGTTTACTACAAACTCTCCTCAAACTCCTTTGGTCTGTAGATTGATCGTTTTCCTTAATTAAGACTTTTGTGTTTCATAGTCAGACATTTTGTGTTGTACTATTAAGGATGTGAAAAAAGAGGAACTCAAGTACTGTGCTGTCATGACATTTTTGAAAGCAGAGAACACAGAATATTTTTTTTATGAAATCTGGTTTAAAGTGATCTCTGGGGTTGGAAAAAATGTCCAGAATCCCTTTCTACCTACATTTTATTTGAAAGGAGTTTTTTTTTTTCAAAACTCGGGTTCTTCCTCTTCAGCTTCCTTATGGAGTATATTTCCTGCATTCTTACTGAAGGCTGAAAGTATCCAAAACTTAGTCTCACCCCCCTTGAGATCACTGTCAGTCCCAAAACTGGTTGGTGGAGTATGGAACAAGCTACCCAGCAATTTTGTTGAAGCCGATGCTCTGGCTTACTTTAAGAATTGGCTGGATGAGATCCTTTAATCAATTAATTACTAATTACCATACAGGCTACATGGCCCGAATGGCCTCTTTTCATCCTGTTTTATGTTCTATCGTTTAATAACGAGCAATGAGTCTGCATCACATGTGAAGCATGACTTGGCTATGCTTTGGTGGGACAGAAGAAAGATTTGCTAATGGTTGTTCCATACCTGAAAAATGCCCAAACACAGGCAAGAATATGAAGAGACTGTGGTGAGATCATAGTAAAAAAAAAACACTCTGAGTTGGAGATTGAATACTTTCCTTGGTGCAGATTTGAATACTTTCCTGAATCATGACATGATGCTATGTACTGTAAAGCAGATACCCTGATGTATCTTTTGGTAAAAGCCTTAGGAAATTCTGAAGCATTTTTGTAATTAATTTAGTACATGTATACATATTGTCCAATGTATTTTTACAATACATTTATTATTTTCTTATTCATGATATTGTCTCACTGTTTACCTTCCTAGGCAAATATATTTATCACATGAATCTCAGCAGTCACACCAGTTTCTTGAAAGATGTCTAGGTACTGGCTTCAACAACAACACATTCATGACAGCTGTGTGTTATTTCCATACCATACTGACAAGGTTTCTTTGGTGGAAGCACTCCCTGATATGGATGCAGTAAAGGTGCACGTAGTGTTTCACACAAGTATATTGAATGTTGGCAGTTTTTTGTTTAATAAATAATGACATTAAAGTAAAATGTGTGTGTTATCTGTCACATGAGATTAGATTAAACTATTGTTAAGGCTTGGTGAGGACTAGATAAAGGTTAGACACCATAAAATCACAATGTGGTGTATATGACTGAGAAAAACCTAGATTCATATATATATATAAAACAGGGATTTTGAATTTAATCTAAACATAATTGTATATTGAATAGAAATATAATTGTTATATTTGAATATACATGAGCTCTAGATATTACACAACATTAAAAAGCAGAACTGTCAGACCACTAATTCCGCTTTGTAACATTTAAAGTCAGCAGCCACAGTGAAACTGCTGTTTCACCTTTACTACTATCTCCAGCTATTAATGTTTGTGTTTGTATATTTATTTCCTTTTAGCAGCCATCAGGAAGAGCTAATTATTTCTAGACTGCCTTAGCTGGTTTAGAGGAGTTGTCTCGATTTAGTTCACTTTGGTTTTAGAGTTGAGACTGTCCTATGAAGCTTCTTTTGTTATCGGAGAATCTTGGTTAGTTTGTATTAAAATTGGTCTTTATATTGTTCGTATGAAAATTGAGAGGACAATTGAGAATAGATTCTCAAATTGATCTTTGTAAACAATTGTAGATCAATAATGTGTGTCTTTCATTTTGAGTTAAGTTTGTAGTTGTTGTAAAAAGCTTTGTGTTTTAAGTTATTTTTCCTTTATTTAACCACCAGAAACAAAGAAATGCGGTGGCCACAATCTGAGTCATTCAAGACTGTGGGCGGAGGTGCCAGTGTCCTTCCTTAATTTGCATTCTAGACAAGCAGGTGTCAGGATCCTGTTTTTAACATTGGTTTGACTTCAGCGATTTACATGATTCCCTCATAAGGTTTTACTATGTATATGCAGAATATCAAAAGATAAATTAATTACAGTAGCAACAGATTCACAAAGTTCTTATCAGGGAAATGGCCATCTGGTTTTGTAGCAGGTACGCGGACATTTCCTCGAACAGACGTGACTGAGATACATTCATGCTACTAATCAACATTTCTCATCAACAGTGCTGATCAGCAGGGCTCAGCTGTGAAAGTCACAAGCTAGGGAGCTGAGAGTTCATGGTTCAGGCAACACAAGCTGCTTGCCCACATGCTTCGTAGCAGTTTGCAGACACTTGTGTTGCTCTGTCTCATTGCTCTCATAGGTTCTGGACAAGCCAGTATCTGGCATTGGCTAAATGTTTTCCCAACTAATTCCAGTTATGCACAATAGGTCCCCAGTCTGGGGGGTTGGGCATGAATTAAGTAACTGGCATGGTTCAAATGTCAGACTCTTGTTTAATAAACTCTTTAGTATTGTGTAAATACTGAAAATGTTTCCGTGTTAATTGCAACCAGCATACTGGTGTGTAGCTCTGCAATATATTCTCATGTTCATTGCAACTGACCCTTTTTGACAGTGGCTCATTACCTTGGTCCTAAGGGACCCCTGTTTCCACCAGCTTGTGTTACATCCAAGGTCTAAGCCGCAGCCTGACAGACTCAGATTGACTATCAGAGGTATTTTTAGGGGTGAGTGGGATTTGTCATTGGAATCGATCCCGTATCCATTTGTGAGGATCACAACTTCTCTCGCTCTGTTGTGTGTTAACTTGAGCTTGAAATGTAACCCGTCGTACCTCTGCGGAATGAAAAAGAAAAGCGATGTCTGTGTGATACATTGTCGTGGCCACCTGTATCTGATTCTCCCTAACTCGATGAACTGTTCAGTGCTGTTTAGACAGAAACGAGGCTTGCAAACTCTAAATAAACACGCCGAGGAGAGAAGTTCTGTTTGCAGAACAATACACGTTTGAATCAGGGGAAATGTCGAAGCCGAGGACTCGGCCGAACAAAGTGTTTAAACAAATAAGCAGGTAAATAAAAGGCCTCGTTAAAGAAAGGTGGGGTGAGGAAGATCATACAAATGATTTCCAACGGCAACAGCACTACATTCGGGTCCAACAGCACTTCCTGAAAGGGCCACAGGGTGGCGCTGCTCTCCAGAGCAACATTTTTTGAAACATTGAAAACATTTTCAGACATGAAACATTTTTTTTAAATTAAACTAACCCTAACCCCAAAAAGAAATACAATAAATCTTGATTTATTATTGAATGGGATTAGTGCGTAAGTATAATCTTGTCTGAAAATAATCTAGCACTTCAAAGTTTATTAAGCAATTGTTCACTGATCATAATAAAGGTGTCTAATAAATATGTCCGTTTAATACACGAGGTGAAGACATTATTTGCTCGATAACACAGACCTCCCAGAAATTAGCGGATCAATACATGTGAATATATTAATTAGGACCCGTGCTTTATCTAGCACTTGTATCAGGCCAGACTGATTTGGGGCAAAGGAAAAACACCAAAATCTGGGAGGAAGATATTTCTGTGCATATCTCCTGGGAATTTCAGAGAATCGCGATTATTCAGCTATTTAAATTTGACCAAACAATGTACGCGTGTCCACTTGATACTCAAATACCATTTTGGACATTATTGGATTTTTTTTGTGCCCTCTGGATGTTTCGTTCGATATACACATTCAGATTTATCCATTTAATACAAAAGTCATTATTTTAAAAAAAAATGTTTTCTATATCTAAAATATAAAATACGATCTTTAGAACATATTGAAAACCATAGTCAAATACTGCAAAAGATTTCTATAAAAATGAAGCTCATTACGTGTCTAATGTTTTAAATGTATTTAACTGCATATATAAATAATTTAATTAGGGTTCTTATTATCATTTATTCTTGAGTGTAGATAGCGTAATTTTCCAAAAGTATTCTGGCATAAATACATGCATGTAAGAAGAACATTTCTAATATGATTAACTCAATTAACTCAATACAGAAAACATTACATTTTATTTGGACACGCGTATTTAGTGTTTTATCTAAAGATATTTTTAAACTTGATGTTCTGCGACACGTTTTGATCAATCTTAAATGATAAATAAAATAATATTTTGCTAAATAAATGGCTAAATACCGTCATTGGTACCGTATCGGGCTAGAAGCTAAAAGTTGCGCAATTTTTATATACTGATTTCTAAAAGCCCAAAAGATCAATCAAACATACACCGTGTCATATTTCAAATTAAACCTTGTTATTCAACATTTAAGATGATTATTGTTTCTTGTGAGGACATCAACATTTCCAAAAGGCTAGGATTTTTTCCCATTATTTAAAATAAAGCTAGATTGAACAAGAAACGTCACAACTTCTCGCGGTTAATTTACAAGTTGAACAACATTGTGTGACTGGCAGATATGGAACTATTCCTTTGAGATATTTTCTTGATTTACTTTGAATCATTAGACTGCACAGACTCCAGAAATTTCGAAAAACTATTAGAACTGAAACATTTTAGTGGAGAACGAAGACATAATTTGAAGGGACAATTGAGATAAAGAAACATTTTAGACTCTAGAAATCTCTTCATTGGTGATTCACCCGATCTGAACTCGCAAATGTAGTTTACTAACAATGCTTTTATCACAGAATATTAATATAGAAGAAATGGCATTGTGCCAAAAAAAACTAAAAAAACTTCTCCATATTTGAACATACGTTTAGGCTGCATCAATTTAAATCATCGTATTTAAAAATGTCATCTAAAGATCCGTAGAAAAGCCTCGTTTTCTGCGCCAGTCTGTCTTTTATGTCACTATCACTTAGATTTAATGGCGAGGAATCCTTTCATAAATGACAGTAGCCAACCAAAAACCCTCTCTGTGAAGAAACGCAAGAAATGCAACCAGACGCTCCCGTCTCGGTTGGAGCGGATTAAACTACTGTAGCTAAACCGAACATCTGCATCACAGCGCAGGCATGGGAGCGATGAGCGAAACGCGGTCGTGTCCAGTAGCCTCACATGAAATATGTCTGTACTGCATGGGCTGTACTATCAAGGGACTAGCTTTTCCCTAGCTGAAGGAGGAGGTTGGTCAAATAAAATGTAAAGGTCTGTCGTGTTGCCCGGTACGTCATGGACGGGACAACATTCTCGTTTAGCCTATCAGCCGGCCTTCCCCTTCCTGGTGTACTTGACATTGGGCGTGCGCAGTGATACTCTCAATAGGAGGAGTTTGGCAGTTCTCGTCTGCAGTTCAGACAAGACAAGTCAGAACAAATACCCCTTAACTCCAAGGCGACACTACAAGAAATCCCGATTTGACGGTGCCAGTTTCATGGCAAATGATCCGTAGACCTGACCCTAGCAGAGACGGAAATACTGGACGTTCATGCGGGATTTGCTTCAGGCGTTTTTACATCGCGATGCACTTTGCGAAACTACGACCTGTCAAATGAAGTATCAGTTTTAGTACCGGTTCTGGGAAAAAGGACTTGCGCGATTTCTTTTTTTTGTTCACCATGAGCTCTGGAGATATCTTGTCATCTGCCGCAGCCACTGGCAACATTATTCTGGTCGAACAATTACTGAAAGACGGCATCGATCCCAATGATGTTAACGCCTTCAGTCGGACCCCTCTTCAGGTAGGTCATAATAGGCTGAACTGAATAAATTACATTTTCAGCCTGCTGTGGAGGTTAACTTGTATTCGGAAATTATAGATTAAAGAGCGGTAAAGGTAGTTGTTGCGTGGGATAAGGAGATCATTTATGTGAGGCAGGTATAGATACAGGATAAGAGAAACGACGCCTGTCATGACAGAACATGACGCTTATTTGTTTTTCAAAATTCATGTATGCTAATAAGGACCATAGGCCTAAGGTTTTAATAGAAATACGCCTCTATTGACGTTTTAAAAAATAATAAAATGCAAATTATAGTATATGTAGTATATAGTCATTATAGTATAGTATATGTCATATCCAATAATCCATAGCGTATATGTGTGTGTATAGTTTTCTAGTCTTCAGTAAAATGACAGTTTACAGTATGTGGACGGACTGTTTAAACTCTTTGGGGGAAAAATCTTACACCGAAGATTTGAAATCAATACGACATGTATCAACTGAGATTTCTTAAATTAGGAAAATTAACACAGAAATGTCTTCTCTAAAATGGTTAATTTTCTAAGGCCAATGTATTGAGAATTTCCAAGTTAATTTAATTGTTTGGTTTTTGACATTTTTATCATTATTAGAAATGATGAGTATTAACATTATCGTTAAGTGTTTCGTTTTTTTTTAAATGGGAGCAATCTCGGATTAAAAGCAAACGTCTTTATATATAACTGACTTCACTTTATTACCATCCAGATATCTTGCGTATCAAATTTGTAGTTGGAAACAGGATACATCCTTCTTATTATTTTACATTTAGACATATTTTTCAAAATATGTCTGTTCTAGTAATTAAAATTTTTGCATTTGGAAAACCACAGCATGTCTCATTCTGTTCAAGATTTCACTGTTCATTAATTCCATTTGTTTAAGCTTGCTCGGGAATATACAGTACTGTATGTATTTATAATAAAATTAATGGGAAATATTATTGAAAGATTCCATATATAGTACACAAGTATTTACATTTTATTTTTTGAAAATGAGAAGCAACCAATTTATTGTTTGTGGTCACAATCAATTTATTAGAAAATGTTTAACCCATACATTTTTTGTCCTTCATCGTAAATTTACACGTGACTAATCGATAGCCAACAACCTGTAGCGCAGACATGAAAATACAGTACAGTACTTTCTATCGAAAGCAGTAAATATACTTAAAAACATAACGGGTATTAGAATCTCTAAGAGCAGCGAGCAGAATGAACAAGCACCAAGATAATAAATCAACTTAATTGTTGAACATTTATTACAGGGCTAGATTATTGTCTTGAAGTACAGGTAAACGTCTTTTTTTATTTAAACAAAATAACAGTCGTAATATTTACTCACTTTTTCAGAAATTAGTGGCTTCTTTAACGTAAACTACATACAGATCTGTATTAGCTTATAGTAGCATATACTAGGTATTGAGAATTAAAAATTGTTGTTCAAATAGAAACAACGCGTTGTTGTTTTATCAAGTCTAAGACATTAGCCTATTGGAAATTAAGTTTAGACTTATTCTTAAAGTGAAGTTAAACGATTTCTCATTTTTTCCTCATGGAGTACCTTACTCTTAAGTGAGTACATAAAGAATCGAAAAATGTCATTAGACGATTTATAAAATGTTAAGGAATCTACTGTTTTTTTTTCACGTTGTATAACCAGTGTGTAATTTACAAAATCTGGTATCTAAAACACAAATGTGTGATAAGTTTATACGTTAAAGTCAGCAGACAAAAATAAGCTCTAATCACAGGGTTAATGCAAAGTGTATTTTGTTGTGCTTTTTTTTTTTACTTTGTCACAAAAAGCATTGCCAATTAACTTGTTTGCCGTCGTTTTTTCCTGCCGGTTTGGACACAGAAATCTAACATATTTCCAAGACGTTATTGTTGTTGCCGCAACATTTACCGTTCTGAGTGACAGTAAAAAAAAAAAGTCACTCAAATTATTCTTCACTATGTTTGACCACCGTGCAGGTTATGATGATGGGGAACCCGATAGTGGCGGAGCTGCTGCTGTCCCACGGAGCGGACCCGAACGTCTCCGACTGCAGCACGTTCAGCACGCCGCTGCACGACGCGGCCAGGGAGGGCTTCCTGTGCACGGTCAAGGTGTTAGTCCAGTACAACGCCGACAGAAACGTGAAGGATAACAACAGCCGGCTACCCATTGATCTTGCCAGGGAAAATGGACACGGGGACGTCGTAGCGTTTCTAGAGCTGTAAATGTCACGATCACTTACATTTAATTTATGATTTAAGGTTTTAGAAAACAAAACTGCAAAGAAGCGTCGAAGTATTGTTTTATGTATGATTATAAGATTACAGTATATTTTATACGCTATGGTATGGTTTTTTCTCTCTCGTTTAAAAAAAGATCTATGGACCTCCGCACAGTCCAGAGTTTTTAAAATGTGTTCTAATGTTTTCAAGGCAATTTCTTACTCTATACCAAGTGTATGTTGGATTGATTTCTTGAAGTGCACGGATTGTTCGATTATTTTAGCTACTGTACCTTGAAAGGCTTTAGAATCCCTGTGAGCCCGCTACTCCAGTAATGAAGATAGTTAAGTTTGTATTTTACATATATTGCACTTTAAAATATTTATATATTAAATTATGTTCCAAATACAGTAGTTATCATTCAGAAGACGTGGATAGTTTTCAAAGTAGGAACTAAAAAATAGCGTTTCAAAGTTTGTTTTTATGCGTTGATATGAAATATATTGTAAACTGCTGGAGCCGACTTACACTGATGGAAAAAAGAAAAATGAAATAGCATTTAACAAAATAAGCTTTGGCTTGCTCCAAGACGCATTGTAAAACCATTCGATTGTTTTGTTTTATAAATATTCAAATTTGAAATTGCAAGTTGTTTAGAATTCACGTTTTGTGTGTGTGAAGAAATTGTGCTGTGTAAAGTAATATAAAAACTGTCTGTGGTCATTTTTAGAGGTTTCGGAATACTAGGTGTTTCCGTTTTGTGCAATTTCCAACATATTTCAACAATGTATATTTAATATTTCATCATTATTAAATAATTTGATATTTATATGAAAATAAAATAGTGATAAGAATCGATTGATTTGAAGATGGCTCATTATTAGCGCAGTTTTGGTCAGCCGGTACAAAATAATGAAAAGACCCGTTATTTTAAACTGCAATTCAGTATGTACTGTAACAGAAAGAGACCGTCTTATCGTCTTATTCTCATTGGTAACCTTCTCTCTTCATATTGTATAAAGCTTGCGGCATTTGAAAATTGACTTCTTTTAGTAGTTACATTTAATTTCCTTTCCTGTGCTATTATAGAAAATTGTTCATCAATTAACAAATCGAAACATTAAGTACTTTTCTGATTCATATTCGTGCTATCCAGTTTTAGAAGAGACCCCGGGTGGATCAACTCAATTTAGACGGGTGATTTTCGTGGTTTTCGGGAAAATCCCTGATTTTTTAAAATGCACACACATCAATATTGATAAAGAATACCACTGCCATCACTATAATTGTAATCTAGTGATGCAGAGTCGGGGAAAAAATGGTCTGATTTTAATACTTATACCCAATCCGGATCCTTCAAGAACAGAATATAAATAAATAGATCCAGCCGTGATCAGGAAGGCGTCTATTCCTGGTCGGAGAGGTCAGACAACAACACTCACTGTCAAACGAAAGACAAAAAGTTTTGGTCAAGTGCTCCTCTACTTGGTATTCATATCACACGATACCTTTTCGTTTGCGTGATTCAAAAATAATACGGAAGTTGTTTTTTTAAGTCTTCGGGTCCAATTGCACAGGCAAAGAATCCTGTCAGCTTTTACTTTTTTATTCGTGTTTTGCTCGGAGTGTAATACAAAAGCTTTGGCTTTGTGATTAACTTTTGGGAATATGAAGGAAAAATACTCCCAGTCACGGTGGGATCATGTCCAGAATGATGACGCGAATCTGGTCGTTAATTCTTTCGAATTGGATATTGTTGTTTGTTTTGTTTTTTTAAATCTTGATATCTAATCCTTTGTAGACTTTCAAGAGTGAAAATCATAATCCGCTAACGGCACTTCGGTATTTTCTTGAGCGCGTTTATGAGGATCTGAATTCCCGGTTAGCATAACCGGAGATACGAAAGTGACTCGTCGTTATGAAGAGGTAACCACATTGTGGAAACCACCAGAGGGGTCAACATGTATCTGAGAAATACTAAATGTACAGATTTTAATTTCAAAGGTTTGACCACCAGCATTATTTGTATAGGAAGTTAACAGCATAAAACGTCGTTCCTAGGGCTATGTCCCTTTAACACTGCTGTTCAGGTGTGATGCTCCGTTTACCAACCAGCTGGAAAGGACACCAATTTTTAGATTAAAATTAAACAGGATTAACGTACATTTCAATTGTGTACATTTTCTATGTGATTTTCTGGTCACTTTTAGTATCACAAACCTTTCGTGTTGATGTATTTATATTTAAAGGAATCAAATACAGATATTGTATTTTTTAATCGCCGACGTGTCTAATGATAATTTTCTAGGTAGATACATTACTAATTAACAAGCAAACGAACAATCCCCAATAGTGTTCATTGTGTTCTGACGTGTTATATCACAGAATGCCAGTCGTGACACCTTTTGACTATGGTGTTTCATGCTTGCGGTGATGGAAAATCTAGTTCAAACCAGTCTCAAACTCCTTTTTAAATGTTGCTCCTTTATTTGGAGTTGATACAACCTCTTGAACAGATGGAAATAAAACAGATATGGCTTTTGATTCCACCATTTTACTTAAAATAACTGCGCAATAGATACTGAGGGTTAATAGGTACTGTCACTAACTCGTGACTTTTTGTGACGTCAACCATTCAGAGAAACTGGGAGGGGGGGTTGATTCATTTGTAGATACGAATGATAGAGCAACGAATGAATATGTAGCAGGTTCCTCTTTTTCCATTGTTATAGGATATCCCTCACCTATCTGTGTATAATAAATACAATAAAGGCAATACTAGTAGCTGAACTAGTGAACATTGTAGTCGGTATACTAGGGAAAGAAGCGTTTTCGTATTTTAAAACCTGGCATATTTTCAGTGGTGCTGAAAACAAGTGTCCAGATAACCAGACACAGAGCATACAACACCAACAGAGTGGCTTTCAGTTACCCAAACGCCTCGATGCATACAATCGGTTTTTATGCTTGATAAAGATCATATTCCTGATATTACTCACGATAGGGTGACATCTCATCTCATCGCGTAAGCAGATTCAAACCAAGAGGCGAAACCTTGTGCATAAAACGCGAGGCAGTTGCGGTAAATTATTTTAACATTGCTCAATTAAAGTCGTGAGTTGGTCACATTTCACAATAAAGTTGGCACAATCTCAGAACCGCAACAAAATCCAATATCCCAGAGCTAGGAGGCTTTTTAAAATCGTAAACCATGGTGGATTTTTAATAAAGGCTTACTGTACATTTCATACAAAAGTATTCAATCGTTCTCCACATTCAACGAAAACGGGGAAAGTTATTTTGGACTACAAATGTTGCAGTTCAGGTGGGTAGCTGCGTCAGCATGCGTAGGCTGCAAAGGAACAAGTAATAGGTTTATTCCATGCTGAAAAAAGTAATACGTTTATTCAGCATGGAATAAACCTATTACTTGTTCCTTTACAAATGTTGCAGCCGCTTATTAAGATGGCCCTTTGACAGTGTCCTCACAACTTTCCCCAAAGGCGTTCTCAGTAAAGACGAGGTGGGAGCAGGTACAGTACCTCAGTCGAGTTCATTTTCGTTTTCTCCCGGGACTAAAGATGTCAAGTTATACTGTGACTTCTTCACGAGCTACGACTTTCAACAATCGATATTTTAAACTGTATAGATTCAAGGTTCATGCATAAGAACATCTGAAACATCACAAGTTAGAAGAAATGTGAATCTCGGTAGCTTTTTTATTTAAAAATGTCAAACACGTTTCTCGAAGAATCTCACAGAAGTTATTTTGGCAGTATAGTTTCTTCCAGTAAAACATTTCTTCTTATATAAATAAGTATTGTAGATTTGTATTAATCACAAATGGCACTTGTAACAGAGTGAGGCCGAGTGTTCTGTCCTCACTAAAAATAAAACTAGTTAAAAATGTAGGAAGTCAAACTCCATCTTCCAACAAAGGAAACATTCCTGGAAGAATCTTCATTGTGTACTAGATTGTGTAAGAGATCATCATCATAATCCTGCAGAGTCTCTCACAAAGCTCCACACACTGGAGTATTTATTTTCTAAAAAAAAAACTAGTTTGAAATGTAGGAAGTCGATGTCCTGTGTACTTCCCTTTGGTGCAGAGGGAAGAACACTTCTCTACCACAATCAGTCATATTCACCATGAATTCACCTGTATAAACAAAGATCTGTTCCTGGCACAACCATATTTAACTAGGTGTCTGTTATGTCTGTAGAAACAGAAAAGTGACAGAATATTTTAACCGGTAGCTTTAACTTGAAAAGTAAATTGTTTCAGTTTAAAAGAAATACCAAAAATAACGATGCCTGGGAACTTGAGCTTCACATGCAAAATTAATATTTGCCTATAATCTCTCTAGCAGGAAAATGCAAAAGTATAATTTGACGAGGCAGCTTGGCTTGTTAGCTTCAACCTGACCCGACTCTGTTTTAAATGAATACACCTAAGAGGACCAAAGGTAAACATGCCGTGTTTCTTCCACAAACAAGTGATGTTTTTGGTTTGAATTAACTGAGCTAACCTGAAAGCAGATTGGGTTTGATTCATTTACAGTACATACAGTACCAGTGGTTTATTCTCAAGGTGAACTCAATCTTGGCGAGAGTGAAAGGGCATCATAACGACTGAAACTGAGGTCAGTGAAGGCATTATGTAAAATGCAAGTCCAAAGTAGCACTGTACACTGTACATGCATTATTGCTGATCACTCACCTGTTTCACTATGCATTTCCTGCACGTTCTGACAAGAAACTGGGTCCTAAATACAAAAGCAAAACTAGCGCAACACACTTCAGCAGTGGATACAATACAGAGAGAGTTCACTGAGTGGGGGAACATAATCTATCCATAAATGGCAGTGATGGTGGACGGTTTCATTTATGAATGCTGAGCTGTTCTTTGCCCTCCTAGAATACACACAAAATAATTATAGACATTTTAACAATGTTGCTCTACAGCTGCCTGGTCTTCTGTACTCGTATAAAAGCTACACTCAAGACAGGTTTCCCTCTAGTGAAACACAGCTCACCCACTCCCATCCCCGAGTGAATTCAGATGCACATCAAGAAAAGAACATCAATTAAGAGAACGTGATCAAGCAGCTTTCTTGTAATGCCTGTCTGACAGGATAGCGTTATAGCACTGGACTTTGAGGCCAGTCTTATCACTGCACAGTAAACCTGAAAGCTCATCTGGAGCAGAGCTGCAGCAAGTGCGCGAGGAGCAGGAGCAAGATGTAAACAGACAAGCTTAACACTTCCTCAGCCTGTGGGCTTCAACCAGAGGCCCGGGGGCATTTGGGGGTCTCACAGACATTGTTGAAGGGTACCTTTGAAACAATTTTCACCCTTCTCGGCTAGCAGCAAGGTAGATCCATAAATACTACTGACAGAAGCTGTCTCTGAATCCTTTTTGATGACTACGTAACAAAACATAACAAAGGATTACGAAAGAGAGGAGGCCATTTGGTCCACGCAGCTACTTCTTGAAAGAAACCAGGCTATAGGCTGGGAAGTTTGCTCCATACTCCCACAACTCTTGGTCTAAAGAAGTGCCTCCTGTTCTTGGTTTTAAATGCAGGTTAACCAAGTTTCCGCTTGTGCCCTCTGGTTAGTATCTCGCAGTTCATTCTGAAGCAATCTGCTAAACTAATTCTGTCAATGCTTTCTTAAAGCCATCAGCACACCTACAGACCTCAAAGACCAGAGATCTCTGGAAAAGTACAGAGAGCTTCCCATTTCTGGCCATGATCATGCCTGCTGACTGGGCTGGTTTTGTGAACCAGGCTCTTGTGTTCCAGTGGCTGAAGAGACACATACCTGGTGTCTATTTTATTGGCATGAAAAACATCTTTTTACAGTACAGAAGATCAATCACTGGGCCATCTGTGGCAAAAGCCTCCAAGTATGCATGGCCTGCAAAGGCAGAATGCATTTACAAGCTTGATTTTAATATTAGTCTCGGGATGGGATTCATTTTGAGCAAGATTAGTATACATTCTTTGTGAGCTATCACATCTAGACCTCTACATACACCTGCGCAACAAGCAATAATGTATTCAGAATTCTTTATTATTTATTTTTATTTATTCATATATTCCAGGACATCTATTCAAAGTGACTTTTAAATCAAAATCAAAACAAGGACAAATCATTTTTTTTAAAAAGGAAAACAATCTACTCTGACATTTATTTCATGATACAAAACCTGCTTTTCTCTTTATTATGGCTATTAAAATGATTTATCTAATGCTGATGTTGCCCGTACTTTTTTCCTGTTGAAAAGAGTGTGAAAGGAGTTAAGACCTCAATTTTAGATAGGGGAGGCAGTGTAGTATTGTATAGTGGGTAAGCCTTTGGACAACTGACTATGAGGTTGTGGTTCTGAATCTCTGCTGTGGACGCTGCAGCTGTACTCTAGAGAGTTTTGCTCCTGTTCACCCCACCTAAAAGGGGACCAGCATTGCCTGGGGGTTAATCCATGTGTTTGACTGGTGTGCTATTGATGGGCTTTGTAGTCCACCTAACACTAAACTAACCAGAATGCGCTCTGATCCAATGAGCTGGTGCGTCTCTGCTATGGACTTTTAACCTTTTTATTGTATATAGTACCTTTCACAGCACATCATCTCAAGGCACTGCCCAATAAACCAATAAAACAAAAAAGGAAGTAAATTCAGCCAAATTAAAAGTGAAAAAGAGAGTTCTAAGAAAGTGAGGTCTTTCAAGATCAGATAAGGGCTGGGAGCTCACTCCACAGTCTGGGAGCAACACAACAGAAGGCACAGTCACCCAGTGTTTGGATTCAGGTATTGGGAACTACAAAAGTCCAAAGTTCACAAATGTCCTGTAGTGTACAGTATACAGGAGGCTACAAGTCTTTACAGGTGAGCAGCAGTGCTTTGAAACATATTCTGAAAGCCAAAGGGAGCCATTGAACAGGTGATGTATGCTTATCGGTGAAGGGAAATGATCTTTAAACCTGACTGAATGAACTCTGAAAGCTTTAAGAGAACTGCAAGTTATTCCCAAAGTCCTCGTGATGACTGTGAATCATGTTATAATTATAGAACTTAAGCACAATATACTGTTTACTGGAACTACAGAGGAATGTATTTTATGTTGATACTTTGATACTACCTTGCTGATTTACCTACTGTAACTGAGATTAACATCTTTGGTCCTGTTGTACTTGGAACCTAAGGAAATTGTGTCAAATATTAACAGCTCTTCTGAAGATGGTAAATAATAATAATGTATATGAAGAAGTGCACTCTTGATATAAGAACAAAATGAAGATTATGCTATATGGCAAAATGGAACTGAATTGTTCTTACTAAATGTGCCATTTACTCAGTGACAAAAAAAATGGAACAATATGAAGATGGCACCTATTGGCTTTATACAGTGGGTATAGAAAGTCAGACCTTTCCCATTTTTATTTACAAATTGTATCTTGCAACATCCAAGTAAAAAAAAAGAAAGCAAAACTTCTGAAAAAAAAATAAAAGTAAAAAAGTGGAATAACTGGGTTGGATTAGAGAACACCCCCTGAGTCAATACTTGGTGGTTTGCTTGAATTACAGCCTTGAGTCTGTTTGGATACATCTCTACCAACTTTGCACACCTAGAGGGAGGAATGCAGAATTGTTCAAGCTCAGTCAAACTGCGTGGTGACCGTTGATGGACTGCCCTCTTCATTCCAAAGATTTTCAGAGGGATTTAGGTTTAGGTGCCACACACTTTACACTTCTTAATGATGGTCTTGACTGTGCTCCCTGGGATACTTCAAGCCTTTGAAATCTTTTTATACCATCTCCTGATTTGTGCCTTTCCACAACTTCATCTCGAAGTTCTTTTGAAAGCACCTTTCCGCCCATAGTGCAGTCTTTGCTCTGAAATGCACTTCCGAGCTGTGGAATCCACTAGAAACAGCTGCTTTTATTCTGAACTATTCAAAATCACCCCAATTGATCACAGGTAGGAGCCAATTAGTTTGTTTTGTGATCTGTAAGGTGACTGGTTATACCTGAGCAAGTTTACAAATGCCATTGTAAGGGGGGTGTTCACTTATCCAAATAAGGTATTTTACGGTTATAATATTAATTTATTTTCAGAATGTAGAAAAAATTAAAGAGCTTTATACATTGCTTGAAGGACTAAGTAATGGTGCCTCTGGTCATTTGTTTGGCATAAGCAAATCTTAATTTCACATAATAAGGGAAAACGAAAAAGCTGTGAGAGTGAGTGTAATAAGTGGAAAAGTGACATTAATTAGAGTCTCAAACGTGCCAAATGACCTGATCCACATGGGCGTCATTACAGCAATAAAGGTGAGTTTAGAGCAATTGAATTGTGAGTTCAGTTCCCCTAACCCTATTTTCCCCATAAAATGGGAATCAAGTTTACCAACCACACATTTTTCAAGAACATTACTCTACTGACACGTTAAACTCAATTAAGGCATCTAGTACCGTGCAAAAAATCTTGTATCACACACACGCACAAAATCAGCTGTAGACCTTACAAATACTTGGCAGTGCCACACTTCTTTATTTGTAAAATCAAGTATTTCAAAAAAAGGAAACAGAAATTGTCAGTCAAACTCCAAGAGGAAGATCTGTGGTCTCTTCCCATAACCTGAGTGGCAATTAAAAAAGTTGTTGATAACACCAACTCTCCATTACTGAGTCAATTTGACTTGTCAACATGACTTGCTGTAAATACCTATGTTGGCTTCTCAATAGTCATTGGAATGACTTTTAATTATTCAAACTGAGATTCGAACATGAGTTATTTACGTTTGGATATTTATTGCTAACCTTACTAACCTTTTCGCTAACAACCAATTTTCAATAAAATTTCTCATACTCATGCACAAGTTACTGTGCAATGATAACGTTCCATGCAATCAGTTTAAAAGTTCAATGTTTCACATAGAAAATAAAGAAAAGTGCTAAAGATTATACAATAAAATGAAAGATGCACAATCATAAAATGTGCAATTCAGGCACTTTGCTTACAGTTTACTGATAAATGACTCAAGAAGAATACATATACCCTGCACACTTCTGAGGTTATTATTTTGTGTTAATTCTGCTGTAGAGTGATTACAGCAGAAAATGGTCCTTCAGTGAGTTCTTCAATGAGCACTTCAGTGCTTGGGTAGCATTATTGAACACTGCACAGAAGCCTGAAAAAAAATAATTAAAATAATTATTTTACAAACCAGTTTTATATTACATTAACATATATTAGCATATCATAGTTCATTAGATTGAAGAAAATAGAATTCCACAGAATTAAAAAGAAAATATTTGTAGTATAAAACTTTGTTTGCTCTTTGAAATACAGTAGGATGCCAGAACATCATCACTGTACTTTATTGTTTTTTATTTAGCTTTTTTCTTTAATATTGCTGTCTCTTGGTTCCCGATAAATCATAAATGAATTAGTAAAATATGCATAACATGAGCTACAGTTCCAAACCTCAATTGTAAAAGTAATCCAGTGAAAGACTCAGCACAATCACTCCCTAGATTCTGTGAGATATCCAGTAATGTAATTGTGTTAATGTTTGGCAATGTAGTTACAAGAATAAGATTTACCAAGACGACCTCAGAGGTGTCAATCTGAGATGTTGTCAAATTTAGGGATTAATTAGTCAGTTTTTTTGCTCAACTCTGCCCATTTGGAACAAACTGCAAAGGGCCTTATACAATTTCTATATTCATATTCATCTCTGGGGATGAATCATGTATTTGAATTGAATGCCCTGTGCTGTGTAACACTCATCTTAGTGCACTGCTTCTATATAACTTGTCAATTTACTTTTCATATTGCGGCCATACAGGTTCCAGTTTCCGTTTTTCTACAGACGGAATGTTAAATCCTTTGTACTTAAGTATTTGAAGACACTGGTAAATGCAAGACTGTCAAGTTGCTCTTAAATATCATCGGCTTTGATTGCTATGTTCAAGAAAAAGAAAAAAAAAAGATTTGTTCATTTAAAATTACTGCCCTATAGTTGACCCACGTGCCCCTGACAAGGCTTTCAAAAAGCCAATAAAAAAGCCTGGAAAATTCGGTCTTTGGCAACTAAAAATGGTTTCAAATGCTAATACAACACACAGCAGTTTTAGATCCCAATGGCTTCTGGTGCTTGTTAGCCAGATCGCTGTGTCTACTTACCTTCATGCACTTCATAGTTTGGGACCAGTCAGTTTTGGAAATGTGTGGTATCGCAGTTAGTAAAATGCTGGCTGCCTTGTTTGCGTTTTCCTTCATTGTTTTTAGCACATTGTCAACGCAGACCTGAAAACGGGAGATTGGAATGAAATAACTCAAAACTTCTGGAGGGCTGCATATACATTGCGTGAAACTTTCAAAGTTTTCGCGATGATGAAATTTGTTACGAACAACAAAAGAACGCAGAAGTGAAAGAGACCGTAAAATGTTTTGCAACGTACAGTACATAATGCCAGCCAGCCATTCCTTCTTCCCAAGATCACCTACTTTTACACATGGATTCACAAACTTCCACTTATTCAAATATAGAATCTTCCAAAAATCGAACATTTTTGCCTCCTCCCCCCCCCCAAGTCTAACACTCACTTTGTTCCTTCATATTAATGTTCATAAGAACGTGCCCGCGGCAGGGAATTAAAAAAAACTAGCAGTTCATCCGCTGGCTAAAAGTTAACCTAACCAAACAAACCAAATTAATCCAGTCCCGGAACACAGTGTGAATAAGACCTCAGAATGGCTTGGCGACAAGGGTAATATACAAACGGATGACCTGTCCCCAAAAGGTACCAGTAGATACTTGTAATTGTATTCAGCAGAAAACAAAACGCACTCAAAGCTGCAATCTGGGACAGAGAATGAAGCCAAGGAACTTCTTTAAGTGGCAGAGAGGCATGAAAGTGAGTCTGATGAGAGAGTTACGTTGTACACTCAAACACAATACTTTACTGTACAGGGTGATACAGACCCTCTAGAGAAAGGCTGACCTCAAGGCATGTTGCAGAGGGACAACCAAACATTAAAGAGAGAAAGCTTTGTGTTGGGATGGGAAAACAGATAAAGCTGAAGACTATCTCATTGAGTCTGGGAGGTAGTTCATTTAAGCTTCTAACAAGAGGACCTGTTGCCCACTTTTTACAATCACCACTCAGGAAGATCAGGATGAAGTCTGTGGAGCAGAAGACACAGACAGAGGTGTTTGCTGGTGGCACTAACCACTCAGCCAGCCAAGACAGACAGCCCAGCTCTGCAGACAACAAAAGAACTTCAAATGTTGATACAAATAAACTGGCAGCAAGGGCTGATGTTGAGAAAGATGGCGTTAAAACGGCAATATTACAGTATTTACTTAAATATAACCCCTGCTTTAATACAAACATTTTTATAAACAAGTACCTAAAATTCAGAAAACAAAGCTGAAGTCTCTCAAAATGGGCAAACTTAACATCCTTCAACCACATAGAAGGTAAAATCAGTTGTTTTTTCCCCCAAAGACACTGGTATATTGTTTTTAATTTTCACATTCTAACATCACTGGAGTCACCAGCACACAGTAATTTCTTTGTAAGCCCTGAAAATGGTAAGGGTTGGTCTTCTGCCAGACTGGACACCGGCTTTATGGTTTGGAAAGCTGTGTAGTGACTCAGGCTTTGCTGGCACCAGCTACCAGAAGGTGCAGGAAGCATTTTGTTTTAATTCTCAGCCCTTGACAGCATACATTCAGAAGCCGAGGAAAATCAGAAATCCAAACTAATCTACAAAAGGGTTCAATTAAAATGAACAAAATGCACCGACAACTACAGGAAAACATTACTCTGTAGTAGTTCCATTGGACCGTACAGTAATCTGTACACTTCAAGCGAATGTAAGAGCACCCCATTAAATGAGACCACAAGAGCACAAACATTTATCCCTAACACTGCTCACTGCCACATGTTATCATTAATGTTATACACCGTGTTTCTCTAACTAAACAAAGTACAGTTTCTTTTGGAATGAGGGTGCCATTGAAGTGTGTTTGGGTAACATTCAATTTGGTTTTGTTATTTTTTGTCCTCTTGTTCCATTTATTTTCCCCGTTTTCAACTACAATGACGATGAGGCCAATTCGAACTGGAGGTGTGGATGAAGCAGGCTGGACAGAAAAAGGCAGAGCCAGGCACCCTGTTTTGCTAATATGGGGAGAATCCTGCTATTGCCGACACACAGACACTCCCAGCATCACTGCCATCCCTACATAAAAATGCCCAGAGTACCTCAATAGAATGGATGTTACCGATTTGGTACCGATTCCCTCTATCAACAGTTAGGTAATGCCCCAAGACTGTGGGATCAGCTGAAAACCCACTTCAAAGCTGGCTACCAATGATTCAAACATTTTGACACTGAGTGCAATGCACATGTAATCGCAACGTCAGTCAGAACGTATTAAAAATACTCAACGTGCAAAATCAGGAAGTGAACATTTGTATTATTTTAAAAGTCCATGAAAGTTGGTTGTTTCCACCAAAAGGAGGAGGAAAAACAAATGTGCACAGCTACAACCGATACATTTTCTCATTGCTAGGCATGTGACATTTCAAGCATGCACACCTGGTTTATTAAAACTTTAATAAATAAAAAATCATAAAGCATGGTGCTTTTCCAGAAAAAAAGGCAAGAGGTGCATTTTGAACGTTTGCAAAAAAAAAAAAGAAATGAATTTTAAAATAAGCTACAGGGCATCAGGACCCAATCGTCTTTTTCTGTGAGCCAACAGTGGGCCCACACTGTGATAAATGAACTACTGTAGTCAGGTAATCTCCCTACAGAGTGTGTGAACAGCAAAGAATCAGCCCAGACAACTAAAAAATATTATGTTCAACCTTCACATAAGCCTAAAGTAGTAGGGACTTTATGTGCGCATTTTGTTTGGCATTTCTTTGTTTTAATTTCATATTTTCAGTCTCAGACAAGAGGCTCAATTCTGATGATGACATTAAATGAACTGCTTAACAGACTCTTGTCTCTTTCTGGTGGGCTGGGGCGGGGAGGGGGGGGAATCTCGCTTCGATACATTAAAATATGAAACGTCACCATTTTGCAAGGGATTTGGGGTAATTCCCTTCAGCGGAGTCTGCTCCATTGCGGACATCAGAGAAAGACGCATAAAGGGCTCAGTGGGGTTGACTTTATACCACTGAATTTCTAATTGACTAAAAAACAGGATTATTTTGAACTGTGCAAATTAACGCTTTCAGATTTGCCAGCCTTCTGGAGGGAGCCTTTTCACTACCGCATTTCCCAATCAAAATCAAATCCCAAACTCTCCAGTCGCAGAAGGAACTGCAAATGCTCCAGTCAAGCGGTTTATCAGTTCGATGAAGGCCTCACTCCAGTAAGGAAGCTCAGCTGGAAACGAAAAAACCAGCAGGTGTGGGGGGGGGCCTTCAGGATTGGGATTGGGAACGTGCGAATGTGGGCCTCGCGACTGCAAGGGTGGACACTGGAGCACGGCCTAGGAAGTAAACCACAGGCGGGCAGGGCGCTGTAACGGAGAGCTGTACTCACGGCCTCTTCGTGCTCTCTCCAGCAGTCGTAGTCGGTTGCCATGGCGATGCTGGCGTAGCACAGGCCCGCCTCCCTGGCCAGCACCACCTCGGGGACCGAGGTCATGTTGATGACGTCGGCGCCCCAGAGCCGGAACATGAGGCTCTCGGCTCTGGAGGAGAAACGGGGCCCCTCGATCGTCAGCACCGTGCCCTTTGGGTGGATTTTCACTCCCAGGTTCCTTGCCACCTCGAGCAGCACCTGACGCCCAAAGGGACACAGCAGAATTTAAGAATATCATCCATCTTTTCTCAAATTTCTGTCTTACACCATAAAGATATACCAAAATAGCCAGCTTGTTCTTGTCCCTTGGGTAAAAAAAAATAAAAAATTATCCAAGGCCCTAAAGTATAAAATGTAGATGACATAGTTACAGGTTGCGAATTACAGTGGTTTTGGGACAAGTATCAAAATAAACACTCTTACGAGCGTTGGGACGGCACTGACCTGCCGTGTTTTGGTGCAGAAAGGCTCTGCCATGGGGATATGGCAGACTCCTGGAGGGCTCGTGGGGCTCCCGTCATAGAAGGTTTGAGGCCTCTTTGTGGTTCTGCCAAGAAAAGTAAAATCACTTGTGGTGGCAGTTTTTAAAAGAACAGTCATGTCAAATCCTCAGGCTCCAGGTCGGAAAACAAGGCCAGGTTCACTAACTGGCCACCAGGTTCGTGGCCACCTTCATTAATGCTCAAAAGGGCTGCAGTCCAATTCCCGTGGTATCCATGCGAGGGGCCGGGAAAAATTCGCACAGAGAGTCTTTAAACCTCCACCTGGAATCTGAAAGCCAAAAAACGTCTCCATGACTCATTCTAAAAATCCATTAAACAAAGTGAGGTGTGAATAAGGTTTTACACACATGAGGAAACAAATATGAAGTTTAACAGGAATTGAGAGTAAAGGAAGACAGCCGTTCCAGTATGAACTGGTGAACCGTGAACACGTCTGAAGCCCAAATCTCGGTATTGTGGCAGGGCAAAGAATGAATATGTCCAAAACAAGGCGGGGCATACTCATTTCATACTTTCCAAAGGCAGAGAAATCACAAACTAAACTGGCATAAGGACTCTCCAAAAATATTGGGAATTTCATAAAATTTCTGTCCCTGGTTGGAAAAAAAATATTTAATGAAGTTTAGAACTCTGTTAGACATATGATTAAAGGGCAGCTCATGCCTCTGTAAAAACCTTCCTTATCAGGTGGTCCCAAGCTCACGTTCAACATCTAGAACACTCTTCCTCTCATGACATTACATGATCGGGACAGTAAGACGGATTATACAACGGGAAAAAGAACGTACAGGGAGAAAAAGTTCCAGTTTATGGAAGGAGAGAAGAATAACGCTTCATGATATTCAGTTCTGAAAGGTAATTTCTTCGCAGACTTTCCGAATAACCATTTCTCTTGATGTTCTGTCCACCAAAATCAAAATTCTCATTTTTATCTAATCAGAAAGCCAGTATAAAATATCATACTGTATCATGTAGTCATTATTTACTGTATTCTTTTTGAGTTAACTTCAGTGTATGTGGTGCAACTGTCTTCTTACCACCTTTTTGACCAGGTCTCACTTGAAAAAGAGACTTTGATCTCAAAAGGACTTTCAGCGTACATACAATCACGTGCAGGAAGCCTTGCTTGTTGACATGAACCCTGCCATTTTAAAATCTTTTTTAGCCCATCTTTTATTTCCTCTTAAGGCAACTGAAAAAAGAGACAAAAATATGTGAGTGAGGCAGTGTCGAAAATGCTTCCTAGTTGGGGACATCCTGAATCCACGCTACTGCATTGTTTTCAGTAAAGTTGTCGTGATTCCTGGTATTTTTAGTTCAAGGGCTGAAGGCTGGGAAAGGCAGACGGAAAACTCCCAAAGCTTAACAAGAGGTGCAATGGGCGAGAGCGCTCGGCAACAACCGTCTTTTACCACACACACGCGTCTGACTGGTTAGTGCCTGGCACGCCCAGATTCACTCCAGGTCAGGCTACTGAGTTTGTACAGGGGCACAAAGATTCTCAGAGGCAGCTTCACTGTGTAGAAACGCTTCTGAGGAAGACAAAGGGAAGCAGCAGAGCACCGCAGCCCTAACCATACCCACCCCTACCACTGTGAGCGTGTTAAAAAACTCAGAACAGAGGAGAACACGAGGAGACAATCTTTAGCAGTAAACGAGGTGTCATGTCTCTGCGGCCCACGAGACTGAGAATTGTTTTGTGCTCCTCATAAATTTATTTCCTAAGTATCAGCTGTTAAGATGTGCTCTAAGTTTTCTAAAAGCATTAACGTGCTGTAACATTTCACCTGAGACCCCCTCGAAGATAGCCCTCTGTCATATTTTCTACATTGCATCCAGTTCCCAGCTCTGAAATTGCCCTTCCTAAACCGAGAAAGCAGGCTAGCTTTCTAAAAATACTCTAACAAGGACTTGAATGTTAGAGACCCTGCTTTGCTGCCCTGTATCTCCCTTTTAGTCTAGACAATACGCTGTAGCTCAGAGGTGAGCACTTGCTTGGGCTTTCTGTGGCTGATGGAGAAAAGATGCTTCAGTTCCACATGTTGGGATGGGCAAGTATGAAGTAATTTCAACAACAAAAGTGGTGGGCCAGAAAAGGACGGGTTTCTGCCAAATTCCATCTACACCCAGACTGCACAGATTCGCACCCTTGTCAGGGTTCTTTCCAGCAACAGCAGGACTAGAAGACCAACCTGGTGAGGAGCACTGAACAAATGAGCTGGCATCTGCACAGGGTTAAAGTTTAATACCAGGCCTCAGCAGGAGAAACAAAAACCAACTCTGCCGTTACCTACAGTACCAAGATAATATGGTTGATATGTTGCCGCTGTGCTACTTTCCTGATGAGCCAACTGTAAAAGGTCATTTTCCAGGAGTCATAACCATATATCCAGACAGGGTAAGTGTACAAGGTAAATTTACCTACATTCTTTACACAGCTTACAACAATGCAGTAATAATAACCCGCAAGACTTGTAACAAGTGTAATATCAGCTATCCAAAGAAATATTCAGTTCACACTGTGATGCAAGGCTGGTGGTCTGTAACACATGTGGCACAAACCTTGCTCAGCGGTTATGCATATAAGCCCACTGAATTTGTTTACAACAGTTGACAGTGTCTGTTTCAAGGCTCTGCACTACACAGACTCAAACATATCACCAGAAGTGTATCACCGTGATGTGGTTCAGCAGGCTGGATTCTCATGCTAGATTCTAAAACGCCAATACATGTCTTTGAACATCAAAGTACACGTGACGTTCCAACACCTGTATGTACCCAGGCTGCCTAAACCAAACCTAAATAAAACTCCTGGCAAGTACCCAACCGTACAAAAGCGTTGGATCAAGCCTTTGTGGGATTTTAAACTTGGAATTCTTCATATAAAATCGGTCCAATGAAAGGGCACTGCAACACAAGGCCGTCTTTATAAAAAAAAAAACACACAGATGGAAGGAACCAGCCTGACGTGAAATCACACCACTCGCTAACCCTGAACAAATATGCAGTCACACGCAGTGCAGCAAGTCAGAACAAGTCCCAACATGTAGCTCCACTGCGAGCTGCACAATGCTTGTCACGGCTTGTAATAGCAACTGAAACCAACACAAACAGAGGCAAACAACAGAATGCTTTCCTAAATCAGCACCGATGCATAAAGGAAATATTTCTTCCTTTATTTTTTCCAGTCAACTTCTGTTAGTTGGCCAGCATATGGTTAAACAGCTGCTAACTATACACTTTTTCCCTTGTTGTTCGGTTTCACTTTCTATGCTGCATAAACGGATAGACTAAAGTACTGTTTACCTCTCTGTTGAACTCATGGACTGGCATGAAGACTTTCTATGGACTTTGACTGTTTTAAAGGAAAATATATTAGAAAAAAGTTTATTCAACATACAGGACTGTACTTTTCTAATATTGTTTATCAGTGCCTTATCAGTTCTATAGTACAGCTTATTGTAATGGTTTTGTCTGTCACATCACCATTGGTCTTCCATTCACAAAGCTCTTCAAAATCCCTACAAGATGCACCTAGATAGTGGCATCTCTATTCAAACATTTGGCAGCTTGTCACAGAGAACAACAAGCCTTCTCCACTCACTGTCAGTACAGAGGCCCAGACACATCATCACAGAACAGAAAATGGAATTGAAACATTTCCATTGTTTTGGAGAAATAAAACTTGCACACACACCGAGAAAAATATTCATAGGTAGTCAGTAGCTCGTGAACATTTCAACGTCTTTCTCAAACCAAAGCATAATAATGCAAAAGATGTTCACTGACTCAAATGTTAGGGCACCTAAACAAAAGAGCACATATTTATTTAGAATGTGGGTACAAATATGACCAATCATACAATTTACATGAACATATGGGAAAGTACTGCTCAAGATGAGTTAGATATGAACTAACTCATGCATCAGCAATACGGAGAAGTAAACTGGAATGATGCATTTGTCTTTATAATAAATATTGTCAGGATGAATGACACCTGACTACAGCTGATCCTATTGATTCCAAAGGATGGCAGCCATTTGATCAGGTGGAGAAATTTAAATCAAATGCCAGGTGGGTTCTGACAACTGCCTCTTCATATTGAAAATTATATTAATTTAGTAAATCGTTTAGGGCCAGAGCACTTACCTCCCCACTAAGCTAGTCCATTAGGACCCTGACACGAGTATAGTCCGTATCACATTATGAATCTGTCCGTTTTCTAACGGCTTCGTTCAGTTCGGGATCGCGGGGGAGCCAGAGCCTCTTCCAGTTGGGAACAGGCGGGTACACCCTGCACAGGACCATCGCACGACAGAGCCACAGACACAGACGCTCACTTACACCAGCTCCAATTTTCCTAGAAGTCACTTAACCTACCGGTATGGCTTTGGACTGTAGGGGGACACTAGAGTGCCTGGAGCAAGGGCACACAAAAACAGGGAGATCGTGCAGCTCAGGTCCAGAACGCAAGGCAGCCAACCACTGCGCCACCATGCGGACCTACATTATTAATATACGACATTTTTGCACCGAGAAGGTTATTAATAACAATTCAGGGAAGAATGGCAGATGCAACTTCCGTGGTATTTGGTTCCTCACAGGGATTTTGAAGCTTCCTTAATTATACGCGATTCATCCGTAATCAAGAAACTACACAGAACCCAGTGACCTCGGAGGCCTAGAGTCACATGGACAAATGGTCTGATGTATTAAAGGAACAGCCAAAGCTCTTAATCTGACCTCAGCCCAATATTCAATTTTCTGTACTGTAAAGAAGAAAAGAAGACAGAAAAAAGTACAAGGACACAGACCACACGGCCGACGGAGCACGTTCATGAAAGCAAGCGTGAGGGAGGTTTAAACAAAGCTCACCTGAAGGCGGAGCCCAAACAGCTGTTTACATAGCTTTCTCGTTTAGTCATCACACCTGACAGCCTTATAAAACACCTGTGCTGCTGAAGGTCACCATTTACAGGTTTCCGTTTCATTTTCCACGCTTCAACCTTCTGCGTACAGAAAGAGAAACCCAAACCTCGCAGAAATTTAAAGCACCAATAAAAAAAGTAAGGTCGTTAAAAAAAAAAATCGAACTGGACAAGTGGATGTGTGGTGCCAAACTAGAGACCTCTATAACCCTCTGTGCTTGGTTCCAATAGTTAAGGGTTGTGTAATGCTGTAGGGCTCATTTTCCTGGATTGGTTTGGGTGCACAAATTCCTTTAGTATGCAGTGTCAGTTCTAGTCACTACTATATGGTATCGAGTGATCATCTTCACCCCCTGCTGCAGCATGTCTTTCCTATCAGGAGGGGTGTCTCCCAGGAGCATGCGTGCTCACAAAGAGCCGAGACTGATGTTCTCCGCATGTCACGGCTTTCTCAGCCACTGGATCTGAACTCAACTGGGCATTCATGGGACAGTTTTGGAATGATGCTTTAGACACCGTTTGTGAATCGATGGGCAATAGTGCTGCAGAACTCCAACTGCTGGTAGACCGGTAGGTGAATTCCAGGTCCTGTAGGGGCCCACTGCCCTGTTGACTAATTTACACTGCTGTTCCGATTTTTACGTGCAAAATTTAGGGCTGGCAACTGGACTGCAGATCGCAGGTGACAAGTAGCAATCTGTCCTTCTAAGAATTCCTTCCTCCATACGTGCCAGACGTGGGCCAAGAGAACTGAAAACCTTTCCAATTATTAAAAAATCATCCATTTCCGGTGGTGCTTTCCTCAGAAGGCCGCTTCCTAGACTTGGTTGGGTGCGATTACCAGTAAGAGTTAATTTGCCCAGTCCCAAAAACCACACTAAGCCTTAACAGGGAACTCAAGAGCAGAGCCGGGCACTGTGGATAGACAGGATAGAGAAGAATATCTGGATTATCTGGATGCATCTTGCATGATTCACCCGGTGGTGTGTTTGCAAGTCAAATATAGCCAGGGAAAAAAAAAAAATCGAATCTGCATTTTTGTGAAACCTGTGTCTTAAAACAGACCGGTAGATTAACATACTTCTACAAGGCTATTGAAAATGGGTCCACATACTACAAATATTTTTCCATCACACCAGCTGCTGTAACCTTTCCTGCTGATGAACACTGGGGGTGTCTTATTTTACCACAAAGGACCATTGAGATAAGGCACCAGTGTCGTGATCACGCAGCTGAAGAATTTATTTTACCTAAACATTGTGCCTGGATGGATCTTTTAAAGATAATAAGATAAGATGGATAAGGTATTCTTTCACTTCTTAAGTTAGAACAACTTCCTGATCACAACATCACCTCTTTCCTGTTGTACATTTACAATGTATTTTCTTTTTGGATTCAAGGTGTGCATATTTTGACCAAAAGACAGTGAAAACATAATTACATATTCAATTGAGCCCTTCCTAGTAGTCTTCTCCACCATGGGGAAAAAAATAAGTGAAGAAAAGTAGTTTTTGGAGTATGCCAGAAGTGGCAGGATTTTAAAATGTTTTTCTAACAAAGAGCTGTAATTACAATCCGGGTCAGGTCAGCAAATATTAAGATGAAAAAAAAAATGTTTGTATAAGAGAAGGAAAAGAAGACCCATTCGTGCATTTTTAACCACTTCAGCCGATTCAAGGCCAGAGTCTATCCCAGCAAGCAACAGGAGAAGCAAGGCATGGTACATCCCTGGTCAACATGCAGACATGCAACATGCAACATGGTTCATCACAGGCAGACACTCGCACCAGGGCCAATCTTACCAGAAGCCAATTAACCCACCAGCTCGGAGCACCTGGCAAAAACCCAGGTGAACTCAGGGAGAACATACAAACTCTGCGCATGAGAGAAGGTGTGGGAGGAAAACCGCATTTAATTTAACCTAGATCACTATTTTATAGTTACACCGATGTGTGCTGTTTTATATAGTCTGTATTTGTGTCCCAGGAGGTTATGTGTGAAAATATCAAACATTTCCCAGGTCACAGAATATATCAGTAGGCCATTGTTTTATATGGAACAAGTAATAGGTTTATTCCCTGCTGAAAAAAAGAAGAAAGAAAACACAATATTTCGGCCGTAGAGCCTTCTTCGGGTGTGATGTGTTGTTCATGTTCAACAGTTGAATTTCTTCTTCTGAGTTTGTACTAGAAAACACTTTTAAACAGGCAGACTATATGTTTACCTCAACTTCATAATTAGCAGGCAGATATTCTGCATTTCTAATACGGGGCGAGATCTTCTTTGTTGTACTCTGAGGTGTGTCCTGGGAATTTCTTAATTGTAATTGTTGGTGTCACATTTTATTTTCCTGTACTGCAAACACAAAGTTTTGCTAATATTTAAGACCGGTACAGCTTGTCTTTGAAATGAATTGAATTGTGGCACAACTGGTTATGTTATTCCTCCTCTGCAGTAGGGCAGTAGATGCCAGAAACGTTTCAGAAATTCTTTAGAAGAGGCAAGTGCTGAAGTATTTCTCATTAAAACATTTCTGCAACAGCCTGGTGTAAGGAGTAGCTGAGATCCGATTCATGGTATCGTAATGTTGGTTATTTAGCCCTTCCTTCTATTTTCTATGGAGCAGCTGGAGACTGAAAAGTCTCAGTTAGGGAAGCAGACGGAAGATTGGTTACTAAGCTATGCTCTGTTTAAATAAACAAGGCTCAATAAAAACACTTAAGGTACTTAATTGTCTCCTCTTAATACTTTTTATTTATAGCTGAGTAATAATTTATTTGCTGTGCATAACATTAAATTCTTGTTAAAATCTAGGAGTTCATTAAACTGTTATATATGTTGTTGGAGTGTTTTCGCCGGTTGGAGTATTTTCGGTCGCATTTAATGGCAACGTCAGCTCAAAGATTTGGTTCAAACCACCAAATGGAGACGGACGTCCCGACAAGCGGACCCTGCTGATGTGGGATTAACGCAAGGATGAGAGAGAGATGTGATGTTTGAGTGTTTTATATTATATAAGAAGAGACGTGAAGACTGACTTTATGTAGAGGCACAGCTTTTAAAAATGACAATTCTCAGTTGCGCATGTTAACTTTGTTTCAGGTACAAATAAGATGTCATGTTAGAAGAGGTTAGTTTATTTTGTCTGTAAGACTATGCTGCGCTCTTTATTTAAATTAATAAGGAGCAAGCAATCACAGTGTTATGGTAATCCCAAGATAATGTCACTGGGACCTGTAACACAGGAGAGGCAATACCTGCGCACTCCCACCGAAAACTAGTTTCTAACCATTCCTTCTCCTGCCAGACTGTGCAACCTGGTAGAACTGAAGTCCATGAACCAGCCTGAGGACGGGACGGTCAGACACTGGCTCAGCAGCAAGCAGTGAGCAGCTCAGCCTCCAGGCTGTGACATATCTCCCATCTCCAAGCCGGACAATTAAATCTACAATCCAGGCAGTCTTGGATCAGACCCCGATTCTTCCAGCTCACCTTTGAGATTCTTCTAAAAATGGCCAATAGGAGACATTTCATCCCCAATAAAATATACTAGAAAAGCTCATTCAGAACGATCCCAGACACCAACACTACCTACGAGATGTCAGAAGCATTATCAAAACGTCTTCCATTAAACATCTCCAGTGTGTAACTGCCTGCTGATGTTGTCTCTGTCCCAGCACTCCCAATATTCTTGCAATTTCGCCCAGGAGATTCACAGATGCTTATAAAGAAGTTAGTACTGTAAACTCCATGGCTGTGTGGCCTACCTGTCAATGAACTGGTCAAGAATGACAATGTCCCCAGGCTGGATCTCCTCTCTGAGTGACCCACAGGCTGTGGTCACCAACAGGTGAGTGCAGCCCTCTTCTTTCAGGGCCCAGACGTTCGCTCGGTAATTGATGTCAGTCGGCATGATGGTGTGCTGCCTGCCATGCCTTTAAAGGGAAACCCACATGTAAAACTGCAAATACTGTGTGACTAGCAGGTATTACAAACAGTAATAAGAGTACATAGTAGATGTAAATTGATTCAGTTAACCAAAGAGGACACCGGCGTGATGAAATGTTAACACTAACTTTGTGCTGGGCAGCGGAAACCCTGTTATGTACGTCATATTCCTGCGCCTGTGAGCCTGAAGTCTAACCTGCTCGCTCAAATCGCACAGTAAAAGCACTTTAACCGGACGTGCAAGTTCCCTACATACACCACAAGGGGGCGCTGAGAGCCAAAGAAATGGGAAAAAGTATAGAAAACACAGCTAATCGGCTGTGGCATTCATGGTGTTTTCAGTATATTTCTGTTGCAGAGAAAATATTAAACTGATTTGTCTAGGAGTAGAATCTAGATCTTCACACCTTCCACTTACAAATACAGCTAAACAAGCCCTGTAACTGTAATAATTTAATATCATTATTGGCAATCCAAAGTTTCTTACCTTGCAAGCAGGACACAGTCCACATGTTTAATCTTCCCTACTATGAGAGCATCTGATGGCTGAAAAACAGAGGAAAGTCACATTGATCCCCCTCTTACTAATTCTCATTTCTTCCAATTGTGCAGTCAACATTTCCAGTGACATCCATTAATATTCCCCCTTCTACATACAATCACAGAAAATACTTTGGAATCATATTATTTTAATACATTTAGTGCTCTAAAACCCATCTTTCTTTAGTCTTGCAGTACAGTATGTATGGTTTTCCTCTTACTGAACCTGACGAACATCACCTAGGGACTTCAGTACTAAGCACTGGGAAGAATCAGTACTCAAATATGGAAAAAAAGAAGGTGTCTCAGGGGTTGCTCAAGCGATAAAGAGACTTGCCAGAATAGAGGTTGGGTCCTATGAACGTAGGATTCCCTACGTATTGGCACAAAATCTCAGTGCCAAAGAGGGTTGGGGTTAGTCAGCAAGATCTCTCTGGGCGACACAATGAGATCCCTTTGGGCTCCTGGAAATGTACAGATGTGCAATGCTATCGATGAGGGACGTGCGTTTCATATGATCAGCGCAGAATCTCCAGCGGTGCTGCTTTGGTGCCTGTGAGGCACTGAAAGGGGAGTGGCTCAAACGTGGGTGGGATCAGAGGCGTTGGCCCACACTTTGTCATTCTCCCTTGTGCAGTTACAGGGTTCATAGCTGTGAGCCAAGGTGTGATAACACCTGGGTATAAAAAAAAAAACCCGTCAACTATTTTTGTGTTTTAGATTCGCCAATCTGTTACCCTATATTCAACTTCGGGCCAAACGTAACCTACTGTAAGAGACTCTGCAGCAGCAGTGGGAGCACCTTGGAAGTGATGTGCTGTTATTATGCTGCTGCATTAAACACATTTATTGTAAAATGCTGCAAGATCTTAGTCAAGCACCAAAGCTATCACCAGCTCTATTACTAATGATGCTTGATTCTTCAGTTAGGAACTCCACCCAATCCATGCCTGAAGCTCAATGGTGCAATATAATCCCACATACAGTGGTGCTAGAAAGTTTGTAGGTTGTAGGTATGTGTACAGGTTCACATAGTTTTTCCGACATTCAATGTTGGATCATTTTGATCAATAAATTAATGAAAAAGTATATCCTTTTGTGCATTATTTGTTTTATTGGGTTCTCTTTATCTATTTTTATGACTTAGATGAAGATCTGATAACATTTTAGGTCAAATTTATGCAGAAATTCAGAACATTCTAAAGGGTTCACAAAAAAAAGGCTATTCTGAAATGGAACCGAAAGCTATTTCTGAAATTACCCTTTTGCATTATGAAATACTTAATGTATTATTAGAAATCAAGTAAATACACTGTTGGGGAGTTGACATTGGTGAAACTCAAATCCAAATCAAATCCCCAAAAACTGGACATGAGCAAGCTTGTGTTACAGCTATTAAACTAATTACGCTTGAAGAAGATTCACCGTGGGTCCAGTCAGGAAATTATCGCAGCCTAGCAATGAGTGGTAACTTTGAAGGCAAAAGGTTAAAACTAGATTTTGTGTTTTATTCCTGCTTTTCTGGCCTTTTAAAATTTTTTCACGTTCTTGCTCTTGAAGATCATCTCACACCAGAACCACAGGACATTTTTCCAGTAATTTAACATGAACTGCAGAGAAAAACAGCCTAGCATCCAATCCCTAATACACTCCACCATCAGAGGTTATTAACATTAAAGAAAGACTTCAAATTAAGTGAATCTCAAACTTGTTAACACCCCAATCTCAGTTTTTTAGACACGTTTCTCCAATGGTGTTTCTTCAAAACAATCAACTACATTAAACTATTCTATTCTATGTTTATTCATTAATTTGTTAATGCGCTTGGGTTCAGGACTGTTTAGGAGTACCGAATAACAAGAAGGGCTAAATTTATTTAAGATAAAAATAATAAATTGGAGTTAAACTGCATTTTTCATGCCAAAGGATTGCCAAATAATCTTCTCTGTTCAAGACTAAAAGGGTTTAATTCCTTTAATCTGTCCGTGTAGAACATTCCCTGACAGGTAAACAAAACTGAACCTTTCAAGCAAGATAACAGTACCCAATCTGCAACCATATCTGTCTCACTTGAATGAAATTAAAAAAAAAACACCTCACAAGTTATCTGAAAAACACTTGTCACAGCCAATATTCTACAATCTCAGATTTATCAGTTGTTTACGTAACACTTCTTTAAAGAAGTTTTGAATAACAAACATGTTGTGCAATTTGGTTTTACGAACCCTGCTTCACATTTGCGAAAGGATTTTTTCTTTTGGAGTTTAAAATATCTTCTATTTTTTATTATTTTCTTCAACATCAAAAAGTCTAAATCAATCCCTTATGCTGAGATTGGTTACTGAGTGAGTTCTAGCCACAGTTATAGATAAATATCAAATTCCCACATTCCTTTGCAAAAACAGTTTGAAGGGGAGCCCATCATACGTTTCTTTACAAAGTGTGCTGCAAGTTCTTAAAGGCAAATTCCAATGTTTAAAAACAGCATTATAAGTATATGGTCAATAAGTACAATGCAAATTTGCCAGTCTTCTGCTTCTGTGAAGGTTGTCATACCTTTGTATTTTAATGGTATCCTCAAGAAACCAAGCCTATAAGCCAAACAAATATATTAAATATTTCATCACCTCAGATCTTCCTAGCTCTTCGCACTTGATCAAAATTGTTATCAGAATTTGTTTTCTCGCATATCAGTGACTTGAATAATAAAGCATTATATATTCCAGAAGGAACTCTATGCTTTAGTTTGAACACATCTATAAACAGACTCCTCATAAAGCTTTATAAATACATGAAAGTTTTAAAAGTGACGGAAATCTCTAAATTTCTAAACTCCAGTAACTGATTTGTCCTTTGTATCGCAGAATTTGAGAACATTTTAGATGCTTAAAAAACAATACAATATACCTTTCCATAGGGTGTGTCGACATACTTCTCAATCCTGCCCTCCAGGATATCTGGATCATCCAGTCCAGAACCTCCGATAATTCCAATCTGATGAAACAAATTGTACAGAAACACTTCATCAATGAGACCTTGAAATAGAATAAACTCTAAAGTGGAAATTTTCTGGACTCCTGGATATTTAAGATCACAGTTTTATGGTGTGTTTAAATACTTGAATAAACAGGAGAGCACACAAAACACATGCTGAAAAGAGAAGAAAATAAACTTTTTTGTTTCTCCTTCCAGCGTGGAATAAACCTTTACTTGTTCCTTTGCAGCTTACGCATGCTGACGCAGCTGCCTTCTGGAATTAATACAAAATACATGTTTGCTATTACCATCAGGGATTAATCCAAGACTTGAAAACCTTTAGATCAGATTGGCAAAAACAGGCTTTCCAACTTGTTTCATGGAAAAACACCATCAGCACAGTGCCTTAAAGCCAAGTTCTGAAGTCTTCCAAGGAACTACTTTGGCCTGAAAAAGAATTTACTAAGAAATAATAATAAAAACCCACACAGAATCATAAATAAAAGAAATGCTGGGTATTAAAAAAAACATTTAGTTTAAGTAGCAAAAAGCAAAGTAAGTTCATATGTTTCATATACAGTAGGTGTAGAAAGTATTGATACCCCTTGGACTTCTACCAATTTATGTCTGTTAAAACCTCAAATTGCAACACATTTAAACAGGGTTTTTTTCTGTACGATTAAAAAAAACATACTTAACATTTTGATGGAGCGTAAAACATGTTATGTAAAACAGAAAACAGAAAAATCCAGCTTGGACAAGTATGCACCCCCCTGAGACCTAATGCATTTAATATTTAATTACTTCCCACTTTACAGCAATTACAGCCTCAAGTCTTTTGCGGTGTGTTGTAACCAGCTTTTCACATCTTGCCGGTTTAAATTGTCACCCTGTCTTCCCTGCAGAATCTCTCCAGCTGTTGCATGTTACTAGGGGAGAGCCGGTGTTCTGGTTGCAATTGCAATCTTGAGTTCCTCCCACAAATTTCCTGTGGGTTTTTGAGCCTGACTTTGACTAGGACACTCAAGGACTCCCACCTTCTTCTTTTCAAGCTACTCAAGGGTTGCCTGGGCTTTATGTTTAAGGTCACTGGCCTGCTGAAATATGACTCTCCGTCTCAGTTACATGTCTTTTGCAGACGGTCCTGGTTTTGCTCCAGGATCTGCTTTCTATTTTGACAAGCCATGCTCTTATTTTGGCATTTAGAACAAATAACTCCATTTCTGTCTCATCAGGCCACAAAATGTTTCCACATTGCTACAGAGACTCCTATACACATATTCAACACAGGACTTTGTGTGAGCTTTTCTCAAATACAGCTTCATCCTCATCCCTCTACCATACGACCCAGGTTTGTGGAGTCCATGAGCTCTCGTTGACTCTCTCATAGTTCCTCCCGTCTCAATTATGAGACACTGTAGGTCTCTGAGGGTTGTTTTTGGTCTCTTGACTGCTTCTCTGACCAAAGTCCTTCTTGCCCAGCTGCTGAGATTTGGCAGATGACCTGGTTGTCGAAGGTTCTGAGGAGTTTTTTTTATTAGTTTCCTTCACTTCCTGATAATTGATTTAACAAGGCTCTGTGGGATACGCAGTGCAGTGAAATATTTTATATCCCTCACCTGACGAGTGCCTGTAACACAGACAGGTGTATTTAACCTTAGAAAGACATGCATGTTCAATCTAAATGGTCTTCCACTTTAATTGCACACAGGTGGATTCCAATCAACATATGGTCAAATCACCAATTCTGAAGGTTGAGGCAGAGCTTATCAAGGACTGAATGCTAAGGGGGTGAATATTTTTCCAATGAAGATTTTTCGGGATTTTATTTTTAACTAATTCATTTTTTAGCTCCAAACTTTTAAACACAGTGATATTGTAGAGGATGTAGCATGGATCTAAAGGGAAAAAATGTAAAAAGTGTAACGGGTTTTCTGGTTGCAACACAACAAAATGTGGCAAAATTCAATGGAGTCAATATTTCTGCACCCACTGTATACTTGTTCATTTTTATTTCATTCACTTCATTTGTTCATTTCATTCATTTTTTGTTATGGATTTTTTTAAAATAGAAAACACTTTATGGAGCAAAACAGCAAATTAGGATAATATTTGTGTTGAAAAATGATTTCCATTGTTTATAAAGACACAGTTTAAAACCAAACTAGAATTCAGTCTTTTGTGGCAGGGCTCCTGAGTTGCTGAAATGGTCAAGGTATCCACAGTAGATCAGATAAATCCAGTAGTCTAGATACAACCAGGCTGAGCTGGGCTGTGCTGTTCCTTCCACCAGCTGTGAGCCTAATTCTCCCGAGAAGCAGCACACAGCTGTTCAAGAGCCACCAGTATTTTCTAGTATTTTCTGTTGTGGGGGAAAAAAACGTAAAACAATATGGGGCTGTTTCTCACTCTCGCGCACTGTGAAATACATCAGGGGGTCTATAATGTTTTGCATATGTGGTTCCTTGGAACTCGTCTTTACATGGGTGAATCATAACACCCCCATGCAAGTTTAAAACAAATGTCTGCAGAAAAGTAAACACTCCAACCTGACAGTGACTGAAAGGTGACACCCAAATTAAAACCAAATGTTAGCGACATAAACTTCAATAACGCTCAAGAACAATCAGAGCCTAAGAATATGAAGCCAAGAATTACATGATTTCAGAGGGACAAGCCATTCTATCACTGCAAGCAAAGGCCTGTAAAGTGTGTACCTCTTTCAGGTGCTTCACGCAGAAAGAATAACTTGATGTATTTTCTTTTATGCACGCTTAAAGATAGTGTTCATCCCAGTATGTAATAAGGTCACATAGAAAGTCTGGAAATTGCAGAGGAAAGTTCTGGAATAAAGACAAACAAATGCAGATCTCTTTCCAGCTACTACCAGGAATGGTCCGCTGGGATTTAAGGGCCTGTTGTGATCATTAACAAAGACCTGATTCAGCCCAGAACAGAAAGCACAGTCAAATGAACAGCGGACGAATAAGGTTTAAGACATTTTATGTCAGTGTTCCTGAGTCCTCATTCTGATACTTCAGCTAATACTCACAAGCTTGGATGTCACATATGACTGCATTTAATGTTCTGAAAGCACAAACCACACAATAATTTCTTTCTTTCCTAATCAAAATTATACAACTCCAAGAGGAAAAAGAAACATTGTGCAAGGTATTTTTAGATAGTGGGGAATCTCAGTGTAATGATTTAATGCCTTGGATAACTGTCACCACAGACACAGCTGTGGCATGAGATAGGTAGGGAGCTTGAATCCAGCTTGCCACACCAAAACCTGGTTTGATAAAAGCCAGTCAAGTGGAGGGCAGCCAAAGATATTTCACAATGAACTGCTGGTGTCAAATCCTCACGACAGCAGACACATTCTCTTTTAAGATTTTGTGGTTTAAAATATCAAATTTGGCAAAAAACAAACACTGCCAAGAACTCTGACAGAAGGATCTTATACCAGCGATTAAGTAGACGGGGGTTTGGGCCTGCTTCACTGCCTTGTGGCCTGGATGCCTTGCTATCATGGAATCTACCACAAATTCCATACCATACTAGAGTATTTCAGAGAAAAATGTCAGACTATCTGCTCGCTAGCTAGAGCTGATCCAAAACTAGATCATGCAACAGGAGAAAAATGAGCCAAAACACATTAGCAAATCTATGACATAACATCCCAGAAAGAAGAAATTTAGGATTTTGAAACAGCCAAGTCTAAGCTGAGACCTAAGCCTCATAGAGGTGCTGCACCGAGACTGAAAGAGATCTGTGCCTAAAAGACAGCCCTCCAACATCACGGAGCTGAAGCAGTTCTGTAAAGGACGACTGGGCCAGAATTCTTCCGAGGCAACGTGAAAGCCTGATCAGCTCCTACAGGGAACATTTAATTCAAGATATTGTTGCAAAAGGGGAGGCCACAAGCTGGATGATTTAAAAAAAAGTACAAACTAGAATTATTTGTGTCATTTGTGAAATGTGGTTATCTACTATTAAGACTTGCTGACAATCCGGTGAAGGTCAAATATGTCTAATATGTTCAACCAAAAAATCTCAAGGGGATGGACATACTTTTACTCTACACTGTATATACAGCTTATACTGCTTTCAACAGCAGACATACACTCTACTAGACTATTGATCTACTGTGACTTTTACAGCAGGTGCCCTGTTGATCATCCGTATCGACGACAAAAGCTAAGCAGCACAATGGATTTAACCATGTCATCTCTGCTCAATAAAATGTCTGCCTACCTGCTAAAAAAACAGGTAAACTCCTGGTAATAACTTTATGACTCACTTTATAAATATGTTGCAGTTTTAAGGGATGTGACAGTATGCTTAAAGAAATAGTGAATAATATGGGACAGAGGCTACCAATATTCGTGTCTGCGGTTAAAAACACTTGCTCTAAACTTCCTGTTCCACAATGTACTTGAGACGGCAGCTTTTACCTTAAGGAGAGTTCTTGAAAAGCACCCATTTAGCAGAAGCTGCCCGCCCTTTGAAATAACCTGCAGCTTGCTTTCAGCTAAGGTGCTAAAAAATGTCAAGGTGAGTGAAAGTCAGGTGTGTCTGCAATGAAGCTCACTTGATTCACTTCAGGTGAAAAAACAGGTGGATAGGCTGGTACCTGGCAGAAACAGGTGATCACAGCCTCATGCCCTGGAAAATCTGATTTTGCAAATCTGGGAAAGGAAGCCACTAACTACTACAGTGACTCATACATAACATACATATAGTGATAGAAGAAAATCCATCAAAACACACAGCACTGACAGCAACTATCATTTTGCCTTCATCTCGTCTTGGCCCCCAAATTTCCATCACTTTAAATAAGGAGGCAAAGTTGAAGACTGTACAATTGGAATAAAGGAATCATGCAGATTCAAACAGTAAAACTTCCTTAAATGCCCATTAAAAACATCTGTACATTTTGAACAAACAAAACTATTTTAGGGCACATAAATTTGGAAGGAGATACCGCAAAATGAAATCATAGTGCTGGTGGCAGTCGAATGAATGTCAGTAATGGATTACAATCCCTAACATGGAAAATGCCATTACACCCTCAAGTCCTCTCCCTTAGTGCTTAAACTCAAAACAGCAACAGTGAAGAGTAGAAACTGTCTTGTGTTCTCCATTCACTTAGCAATACAGGACCTCTGGCCCTATAAGCAGAACCTGACATTTAACCAGTCATATAATAAAATGATAATTACTCAGTGGCGTGCTTTAGGTCTCAAATACAAGTACACAGGATATCCTTGGAGGTGACTGTATTTTAAACATTTGAAGAGAGTTCAATAACAGAATTTCCTCTTAAATCTTTACCTAATAAAAAGCCTTTTAATAATACACCTCCTAAAAGTAGACCACAGGAACCTGGAATTATTCCAATAAGCACCAGTTTATCACCAACATTTGAACCCAAAGAACGTGTCTTTTATCCTGTTTTGGTTTCTTGTAGGTAATATTTGGCAGCAATCCCAAGGTACAATTATAAAGAACAAGAACTGCGCACTGTGAATGATTCACATATGTCAAGTCATGCTTTAATGCATTCCTTAATCTGGCAGCTTTGAAAAACACCATTTTCTATGGGCTCTTTTCAAAGTTAACTGTGCATACAAAATCAGGTGCCATAGCAAATATAAAGAGATACAAGACTGTGGATCTTATCAGACGGCCAATGTAGCCTTAATATAAGTTTGATGTTACTGTAAATTAAGTCCTTTGTATATTGTAAAAGTAGGAAACAACACTTAAAAATGTTACAGTTTATATTTTGATTTATTTCCTTAAACCTGTTAGTAAAAAGTAATGCAATAATAGAATCTTTCTTTTTAAGGCTTGGGGGGAGGCAACGTCTCATTGACGTCTGTCATAAAATACGAATCCTTCGATTTACAGATATTTCTGGCAAAGGTAAACCCTTGAGCTACAGGGTTACCAAGGCGGTGACTGATGACACACTTAGGTATTGTAGATGTTAAATTAGTCAAACAGGGGAAAACCCAAATCAACGGGTAATTATCAAGGTGTATAAAGAACTACTGGCAGGATCCATGCGTAATTATCAGCATCAGTAAATAGGCATGGGGTTGAGCAAATTCTCAGTTTGCCTCACAGGCATGTAGCACTTCGTCCCAGACAGCTGTGGTTCGCCTTTTGTTTTGCTACAACAGCCGATTATCACTGGAGACAAGCTGTACAAATCACACCTACAAAACTGCTAGTAAACTTGCAATAAAGATCCACAATGCTTTCATACACATGGGTGAATGGCACCGATTCCCCCCCCTCTCCACAACAACTGCTGTAAAGCAAACTTGCATTCTAGATGATAAATAAAACAGCAGGTTGTTCAACAGTAAGACGATACTGTGTAGCCCTTGAAAATAAAATACCATAAAACTAAAGTATTGCTGCAAAGGAACAAGTAATAGGTTTATTCCATGCTGAAAAAAGAAGAAGAAAGAGAACAACGTTTCGGCCGTGTACACTACCTGTACAACAAATCGTGGATGTCGCGATTGGATGACTACATAAAAAAAAAAACCAATGCAAAACCCGAGTTGAGGCCTAGTATGAGCGCACCGCATGTCCAGGCCTCAGAAGACTTACATTATTTACACAACGTGAAAAACCTAATACAAGGATGTCGTTTTTTTTTTTAACGCTTCCCATAGATGTATGATCCTTGTACTGCGCGTCCCGGCCTTCCCAACTCTTGCTTGTACCCCACTGAGACTGACGGACGCCTAAAATGCGTTAATTTGTAAAGCATGGGCAATAACGTTTTTTCAGCGTGCTTCGTTTAGTCCACCTGCAATTACCGAGAGCACGAAGCGGAAAAGAAGCTCTTCCTGACAAAGAGATTACTGTACAGACCAACAAGACCTTGCGTTGCAGAGCCGGACGGAAATGGACAAAGGAATTATTTTTTTTTTTGTCCGGCAAACATGATCATTGTCTGTCACAAGCTAACCGTAACGCGTGTAAAGAGCGTTTCCTCTTTCGGGGAAAAAAAGCACTGAGTCATTTTTTTTTTTTGTTCAAGTAACTGCACGTTACACCTTAGTCTACCGCACTGACTGCACCCACAGGGCTAAGTGCAACGGCGGCTGATTTGAGTGCCTGCAGCTTTTTTTCTGTGCCATAACAACCATCACCAAAAAAAAAAAAAGAAGAAGAAATCCCAGAGCCAAAAGTGATTAAAACAGCATCTATGTCTAAACCGTTTTGCTTGTAGCGTGGGTAATAGCCTCCACGCGTGTCGTTTAATAACGCGAGCGTTCACATCACATTTTGCTCCGTGTAGCTTTCCTTTTTGTAGCCGGGAAAGACATGCAATTCCTGAACAGAAGCAGAAGCACATTACCTTAACCTCCTGCACGCTTGCAGCCATTTCTCCCGAGAAGCCAACGTTTGCTGAACGTCTACTTCCTTCCTGTGTTGCGGAAAGCAAACATGCGGTTTATTGAGTTCAGCGCGGTATTTACAGTAGACGCACTTCTTATCGTTTCTTGTTAGTTCTCCCCCCCAAAAAAAAATAATTGGGAAACGCTTTCTAAGTTTCTTAGTCGTGTTGCTTTAAAAACCGGTTCCTCCCGTGTCGGAGGCTAGAATTTGTAAGGGGCGCTCATCCTGAAATGAAGCCGGGTACTTGCGACACACAACGTACGAAATCATAAATATTTTCTTGTCAAGCAGATACTTGTAGCTCTTACTTGTCGTCCCCGCCTTATGTGTATCCTGCTTTTTATAATCGTTGAATATTCTGATATATTTATATATTTTACCCGTGTCTGTTGCGCAAGGTTTGAAAACTCACTGAAAAAAAACACCGTCAAAAGACAAAAGCATCTGGTTATATTCGCTCATTCGTTACAATCACGAGAGAAAATAATACACATAAAAGATGTTGTTGAGCTTTTTGGTATCATTCAATTGGACACAATCGAGACGCTTTTTTGTGAAATGCTGTCGAAGAATTATTTTATGGTTTGTAACGTATTCCTAGATACACTAATTATCTGATCGAATTAAATGCCCCCCTCCTTTTGTATTTCTTTAACATCATTTTTCACGTTGTTTTTCATAGTAATCACGTTGGTATGTGTTTTTTTTCAGTCATATATTTAACCCCGCAATGTAAAACGAGAGTACAATTGGACTGTTCTTTGCGAAGAATGCACAGCTGATTCGAAGCCAAGTTTCGTTTTGCTGGATTTCCCACGTTCAACCTGTTCTGCATCATGTTGTTACAAGAGTAAAGTTTAAGGCACTTGCTACGTTTTTTTTTAAAAAAAACTTCAGTTCTGTTTTTAACACGGTTACTAAAGGATGAGCACTGTACCAGGAATAGGATTTAACGAAGATTGAAAAGCACAGTTAATAAAGGCCTAAGATTCCTTTGTTAATCCTTAATTCATACGTTGTCCATTTTCAATAAACTGTGAATCCTTGTTAGTTTAGTATTAAGAGCATTTATAAACCCTTAATTTCGCAACCTTATTGTAAAGTGCTACTGATTGGGAGAGGAAAACACACTGGTAGCTGATGTCCTAACCTATCTTGCCATGCTCCCGTTGCTTGTTTATATTTTGATGACAGGAAAGTTTTCACAAAGATTCCCCTGTTCTTGTTAGGTTGTTCATTTCAAGCACACAAAATTTGTATTTTTTTTTACCACCAGTGTATTAATTTTACCACCTCCCTTGGTTGTAATACTTAAAGTAAGATGTTGTACAGAAATATCAGCTTATCGGCTGGAGAACATATCAATATTGGCCCTTTTGTTCTTAAGAAATAACATTTACAGGTAGAGAGGAAACTGTTTATTCCTCAAATATGGTAAATCTAAGTCTTTGTAAAGAAATCCTAATCGATACAATAATCAAGATTTGCAAGAGGTATCGAGAAGAATGCTTTATCTAAAGATGCTGCCATCACATTCTGACCTGAACATTTCAATGTTTCAACAGGAGTGAAATTAAGCAGATCTGACCTTAATATTTTTCTAATTTTTATTGTGTGAACTACAAGTTGAATTGCAAAGTAAAGCATTCCGTGAATTTGCCACATTTTAAAATAAGACAGTTCTCAATATATTTTCTAATTTGCTGATTGCCAGAAAAAAAATATTAATACATTTTACAAAATGTAAACTACCAACAATTTTATGATCAGGAAACACAAACAAGATGGAAGAGAGTTTAGACTTTTAATGTATATTTCAACATGAATTTTAATCATGCAGGATTTCCAATGATACATTTTAAACAACCCCAAAGCATGTTTAAGGTCTCTCAGCAGTGTGGCTACTAAGTACAGATGTACAGAAATATTAAGCACCTCAGAAATCAAGAACAGGGATCAATACGCAAGTTGTCATATAGAAGATGACCAGTGAACTGTTCAGTTATGGTTATCTTGCATTTCTGCAGTCAGAACTTCAGTATACCATATATATTCAGAATCTAAATGCAGAAAGTAATGTAAATACATCTATTCATAAAAAATGCCAGAAATAAACAAATCATTTAAGGACATTACATAGCCTCACTCACAATCTGTAATGGAGAATACCCTGCACTAGACAAGGATAAGGCAATCGTTCAGAGATAGGTTATGTTCAAAGAGCCTTCATTGTGCTGTGTCTTTTTCTGTACTGTATGTGTTTTTTAAGTGCTACCATTATTTGTTACAGGAACGACAACAACTTCTAGCATGTGCAAAACAGTAACGCACACAACACAGGTGAAAAGCAATCTGTGTGCAAAAAGTGTTAAATAATGCTTTGTAGTGTGAATTCAAATGTGATGTCAATCAAGATTCAATGGCATTACCTATCATAAAATGTATAATCCCATGCTACTTCCAGGTTCAAGGCTCCTTCACAACTTTGCTTTTAAAATGGTTAAATCAGAGCAACTCCTGAAGATTCATTAAAATGATCTTTGCTTTTCATGATTTGATGTCTATAACTGCAAGTTACTCATTAATGACAAGTGGTCAGGACGTATTTCTGATAGATCAAATTCTTTCATTCTGAATGTGACATCCCTCCATTTTCTGAAACAAAACTGCCGATTTGTCACGCAGTTTTTAGCCACGAAGCTTTCTATTTTGATGACGGGCAGGTCGTTGATGTGCATGTAGGAGCCCACTATGCCCCAGTCGAACTTGCAATTCTTGCAGAACATCTTCATCTTCTTACTAAATCCATCGTAGGTCCTGGGCTTGTCATGGGGCTTCGTGATGCACCGTTCAAAAAATCTTTTGTTCAGAACGACGTGGTGTGACTCCTAGAGACAAACAGTAGAAAGATTACTTTTCGTGCATCTGGAAAGAATAACAAATATCATAAAGGAGTAGGGCAGCATGGTGGCACATTGTTTAGCATTGCTGCCTCACAGGGCTGAGACCTTAAGTTGTATTCCAGACCCGGGGTGCGGTCTGCGTGGAGCTTGCATGTTCTCCCTGTTTTCATGTGGGTTTTCCACTCGAGCGCTCCAGTTTCTTCCCACTCTCCAAAGAGATACTGATAAGTTAACTAGCCTCTGGCCCTGATGTGAGTGCGTGTCTGTGCCTGGGTATGCTCTGCGATGGACTGGCATCCTGTCCAGGGTGTGTCCTGCCTTGTGCCTGTTTTTTTTTCAGAGATATGCCTCTGGTCTCCCATGACCCCTCAGTGGAAGAAGCGCTTAGAAAATGGATGGATGGATTAAATGAGTAATAACACCATGTGGGCACTACACATTTTTTACAATGGTCCAGCTAGTTCAGCTAGCCCCCCACAGTGTGCAAGTGCACTCAAACAACTGCCCTGATGATGGTTGGAACTTTACTTTCTTACATGCAGGTCTTAGTTTAGTTAATGTTGTCTGGCAAATGTGCCCCCCAAAAATTCCTGATGAACTGAAAACTGAGCTGAGCTCAACAACAAAAGCTCCTGATAAAGAGATGTCTGACAGGGGGGGTCAGTAGATGTGTGCATTTATAAATGGCTTCCTAAACTAACGTGTACAGATTCAGTACCATACATGGCATATGCACGGTTCATAGAATTTCTGTTCATGGTACATTATAATTGCTGGTTGTTGTCATAAATTGAAAATGGAGAATTATAAATTTAACAAAATGAAAAATCAATAAAAGAGACACTGAACTACACACAATGACTTCTAATAAATATGTTCCACTGAAAATCATTATTTTTCTATGCTACTGTTTATATACTGTAAAGTGCATTAGTCCAATAACAATGTTAAGTATTAATTTTAAATTATTTTAATCCTCTCATTATTCCTTACCCGTAGTACTCTCAAATCATCAGAAAAACACATCATGCTCTTGCATTTTGAGCAAAGGAGTTCAAAGCTTTCACTTGTTCTGGGCATTTGTGGGGCTGAATTGATATAATCCCGTATTTTCTTGTCTTCTCTTTGAAGAATATCAATCTGAAACAGGATGCAAGAACTTTAACAAATCTGTGAATTTTTTATCGACCAAAAACTGCCTCTTTTTTTGGTCACTTGGAATGGTGAAGAAACATTCTTACCAGACATCTAAAAATGTCACTTAGCAATCCTTTAGGTTTAATATATTTAATATTTTATATTTTGCATCTGCTTTCCATCACTGTTGCTTATAACCACCAGTACAAAAATACTACAGGTGAGTGAGTCTGACAGTGCTATAGTCTCCTTCAACACAGAGAATTCATTACATAGAACACAGTGCAGCTAATTAATGAGGAAGAATATAGAGCAGTGTTCTTTGAATACACCACCATCATAATAATAAAGATGATGATAATAACATCTCTTTATTATATACAGTATATTTTCCTTCAAAGAATGATGATATACTATAGTATAAATGTATAACCTGTAAGTGTGACAGGAGTTAAAACAGGACACAAAGAATTGATTATAAATCTTACAAAAAATAAACAGCAATTACTCATTCAGTTAAAGACTGTAACTTTTTTAATGTTTTGCAAACTCTTAACTTTGAATCAAATTAAGAAGCAAACAATATCGGCAATAAAGTACGAAACACTGGAGTGGAAATCAGAGGTAACTGAGTGCATAAATCCAGGTCTATATACATAACCAATCCAATATCGAACCACATACATGGGTATCACAATAAACAGCAAACAATATTAATGCACCGGAAAACTGGTACCTTACGAAGCATGGCCTCTCTAGATAGCTGTAAGTTATTGACAGCTTTGTCCATAATCTTTTCCCGGAATATATTTAACTGTTCCTTCTCGATGCGTGCTTTTTCACTTGAAACAAGGATACACTTGCTGCCCTGTGCTCTTCCACGACCTAGAATTTGTAATCAAAAGCACAGTTAACATTAAAATATTATTAAAGGCTCCATGTAATCAGTAAGCCATGTGTTACTATATTGCACACCATAAGGATATGCATAGAAAAAAGATATATTACAGAAATTAGTTCCTTACTGGTCATAAATTATAGAAATATGATTTAGTAATAATATCCAACAGCTCGGTCAAAACAGGAATTGAAATCAAAGTCTTCTGAAGAACACACAAACCCATGAATCTAAGCTTTACTAACACCAGCTATGTGTGTGAATCCTAAACTCCTATCACCATCACCTTTGCTTAAGCAATTCCTTTAGGAGGTGAGAAGGAAGTTACTTCCTCAGCCTGTCACAAGACTCACAATTGTCCAATTTTCAATCTTGGTTTGTCAGCTAATGGCTAGATGTGAACTAATCTGGCCAGCCACCCTTTTACATCCACGTTTTATAGATCACACCTGCAGGGTGAGACGTGATCAACTCTGCCACCTTGTGGTCAAAAGGGTTACAAGCCAGATTCTAGAAATTCAACACAGCAGATCTCAAACAAAATACAATATATAAACATTAGAATTCACACAGGAGTTCTCAATTAGCGTTTGTTTGCTAACCTGCACAGGGAATTTAAAATATTTATAGTGTCTACACCATACAATAGTTTCCTGATGACCTTTAATCAGAACACACAGTATCTTATCACTATCTATTACACATACCAATGCAAGTACAGACAGAAAATGAATTGTAAGGGCAAGTTATATGAGATTAGGTTTCTAATAAGCATGTAAAACTGTCAACACTTTTTCAGAATCAAAGCCTTATGTGACTGCCGACATTAAAACGTCAAAGGTTAATTTCAGACTAAGGAAGCTCACTTGTGTTACAGAGACTTCAGATGTGCTTACTGATACTATTTGGAAACCTTCCCCCTTGTCATCATGGTACACCTATATTCTGTACAATTATTTTGTGAAACAAATGCTAATTTATCTACAGATGCCAGGGAAGCAGAATTGGAACCTAAATAGTGTGAGTATGGCATTTTTAGAAGAAAAAAAAACACTTTCACACAACAGGGTTTGTTAAATGAAGGCATTTAAAAATATAAGAGAGTCTTTTTTCCATAACGGTATGAAAATTACAGTGGCTCCCTACTTTTTGAAAGAGTTATTTGTGAAATTCTAGAATCCCCGAACAAAATGTAGTGAATGTATTGGAGTGTATGAGCAGGAAATAAAGATGCATTTGAGGTCATTCCACTAAAAATCACTATTATATTTTGTGCAAAACAACTGAAGTTCTTACCTCTGACTTGAACCATCTTGACCACATTGCCAACATACTCATACATGAGTACCAGGTTGCACTGTGGAATATCAATCCCTTCATCGGCTACGGAGGTGGCGATCAGTACCTTACTTTGATCAGAACTTTTAAAGGAATCCAGAAGGCCTTTCTTGGATGTCAATGTCATCCCTGGAAAAATAAATCAAAAGACTCAAGATTTCATCCATTTTCTAGCCACTGCGTCTTTCAGATTCAGGCTCACAGGGAGCCCGGGCCTATCTGTTAGGCAGGGTGCACCCTGGATGGGACACCAGTCCATCGCAGGGCAGACACAAACAAGCACACACTGACACCAGGGAGAATGTTATTTTATCCGATTAATTTCTAGTCCTATTTTATGTTGTTTGCATATGTTTCTGTTGGCGTTTTCTGTTTTGAGTTTAATTCTACATTGTAATTGCTTACTTCATTACACAGTAAAAAAAAAAAAACTCTTTCTGAATGCAATGCTTTGTGCTAACTGTGACTCCTACAACTTTCCCAAAGGGAGTTAAAAGATATTGAACAATCATCTGAAAGCCAACAATCTCCTTGCAAAGCTCTGCAACTGATACACACTAAGAACAATCCCAACACTGTATCTCGGAACTGCCGAGGCAAATTGAAAAACAGTGTTTATTCATTTAGTTTAAATCTTTCATGAAATGTATTTGTCTTTCCATACTAATGAAAAACACAAATGGAGTGAAAAAAATCTAAACTAGATTGAATCTGATCACAATTTCTTATTTTCCACCTGGCTAAGACAAGGATAAAACACTAAATCTGAAGGGATCATTTATTTTTTCAAGAGAAATGAGACAATTTACCAATTTGGGGTGTATCACTGTTATTGGAGATAACAGAAAGAACAGAAACTATGTCCTTTAAAAAAAAAAACAACTTTCATTTAAGCACCCTGCTGATTTTCAGCAATATAACTGTATCTAAGCATAATTAGACAGAATTTATTTTTCTTAGAGAACAAAACATTAGAGTCTATACAGCAGCACCTGGTTTCCAATGATTCTGACAGGATGTTATGATCATGTTTGCAATGAAGTAACTAGTATTAGATACTAGATTTCAGATAAAAACATTAAGATTAAATTGAACTGTGTGTTTCTACACTGTACTGAATGTTTTCTTGAGACAACTAAAAAGAGACCTTTTTGGACATATCTAGAAAAACACAGATTCACAGCCAAAACCATGCCCCCAAGCCACATATAAACTGGTAAGGTAAGTGCTAATCATTTTCAATGTTGTAGAAATGCACAATTGAAGTTAATTGTTTTACAGGTTCTCAGTTGAAACATGTCCTGTTTAGGAAAGGGAGTCATTTTGTGGTCAGAAACAAAGCATGATCTAGCAGATTTGCTTTTCCGTGGGTGGGCTGTGAATCTTAATGTGTC